ACACGATCAACGAGATTGGCGAGATATTCAGGAGGGTCACCTCACCGTGTCGTCTAGAGTTGCGCTCGCACTGTGTCATGTTATTTTTTTTTGTCATCAAAATCAAAGGCTCTATCACAGAATTTGAGAGGATCCAAACCGGTACATAAATGCCTACATACTTGATACATAGGAAAATAAAGGAACATGGAATCGTGCCTGACGAGCCAATATTGAATTTGCTTGCAAATGACTGTCTGTCACGAGGAATCAAGTTGATAGAGAAAGAATGAAATAAACTCTCTGAAAAAAAAAAAAAAAAAAAAACTCTTGCGTTTTGATTTTGTGACTAGTGTTGTTTTAAGATGAAAGAACGTAATTAAGTGTGGTCGTTTTTTGAACGTAATGAGTTTTAATATCCTTGGTCTATTTTTTTAATTAGGTTATGAATACATCATGTCAGCAACTATCTATAATGTGCATACTTTTGTCACATTGAACAAACAAGAAACTCAATGTAAACTTCCTCTACAACTTTAACCCCTATACTAAATTAGAAAAACCGAATCTTCGTCCACGATTCCAACAAGGACAAAATCAATTAATCGTTAGATTCATAAATCAATGACGACACCACGAACCCCTTGTCGTAGGCCTTTATGTCCTAATGCATCTGGAGATGGTGGACGTGTCACCGGAACATTCTGTGGCACCCGCATCTCTGATGAGTGTCCTGAGATGCACATCGATCCCGACCCGTCTTGTTGCCAGTACACTTCCACCATTACCCCACTTGGATTCTCTGCGTTTTCTGTATCAGGGATCCCAACAAATCTTGCTCCCACAGGTATCTATACATTAACCATATAACTCAAAATTTCTCAATCGGCATTTGGTTAATATATACATGTGGATATTGATTTTACCTCTAGTGAGATGCCTGATTTTAACTCCAGAGTGACCATGTTTCCTTCGGCTGTTGCGCTTTCTAGTTCAGCCTGTCTTGCGATGTTGAGAAACACTTCTTCAAGAGTCGCAAGACCGAGTTGGATGTCCGAGATTCCAAATTCAGATTCTCTGTTTTGTAGCTCCTCAAAAAACCCCTGTTGGTCATTGAGACCACAGAGAAACAATGATGAATATCATAGATAGATAGATGAAGATCTATAGTTTTTTTTTTTAGAGCTTTGTACCGTCAAAAGGTTTTCTTTGTCGTGTGGGATAACAAAAGTCATGAAAGCTTTGTTTTCTTCTGTTGGCTCAACTTTCAGATGCTGCAAAAAAGAAACACTTTACTTTTTTTTTTTTTTTGCTTTTAGGCACCTAAAAGCAGTATATGTACCTCTTTAAAGAATTTCTTCAATGGCTCGTGCGAAGCTCCAACACCGATGTTATTGTCATTTTTGCTTTCGATGAAGCTAACGTTAGCAACGAATCCTGTACCAAAGCGGGATTTTAACCTGATTGAGGTCCCAATGCAGCGGAGCCTGCCTTTAGCCATGATCCCTATTCGATCACTTAAAATATCAGCTTCCTCCATAGAATGCGTCGTTAGTATGATGGCACGACCTTTCTTTGACTCTTGTATAATGTCCCACACATGTCTCCTCGTGATAGGGTCCATGCCAGTTGTCTAGAATCCATGTATAAACAACCATCTTAAAACTGATTTTTGTGTCATTATAATATAAAATCATATTTAAAGAAGAATGTAGCAACTCGACATGCCGGTTCATCTAGGAAGACCAGCTTGGGATCACCGATAAGTGCTACCGCAACACTGAGTCGACGTTTCATTCCACCACTATAACTTCCTGCTCTAACTTTCGCAGCTCCTGTCAGTTTTACATCCGCCAGTAACTTCTCAGCAGTCTATAAGAGAAATGAAACTTGTAAGCAAAAGAAATGGATAAGTGTGCATGAACGTTCAATAAAATCATCAGACATCTTTTGCAGCCGTAAAAAGAAAGTACACTATGACATTTTTCAGTCGGCATACCGATTTGATCGATGCTGGTGGCAATCCTTTGATGCTAGCAAAGAGGTGGAGGTGTTCTTCACTAGACAAAGCATCCCAAAGAATATCAAACTGTTAAAAAACACAAAGAGTGTAAAGAGATCATTGTGTAAGAGATAATGCTAGAAACATGTATGGAATTGACTTACCTGAGGACACACTCCTATCATTTTACGAATGTTAGACATACCCACGGAACTTCTTATGGAGTCTCCATATATAAGAGCTGTTTAAGTAAAACCAAATTGATCTTATTAGAATTGTTAAAAATGCTTTGAGAACTTGCTTCCTCTCTAAACAGATACTTACCATCTCCACCAGTAACTGGATTTATGCCAGTCAAACAACTAATAGTAGTTGTTTTTCCCGCGCCATTAGGTCCAAGAAGACAAAACAACTGATCTTTGGCAATATTCATCCACAAACCCTGAAAAATTAATTTCCATGAATTAGTTGAATAATAGATGTAACTGTTGTAACACATTTATCTCAGGTTACATGAGCTAGGAACAGCTTTGGCAAAAACCATTCATTATCGGAACTATTTTCTTATCGGAAAATTACATACCTTTACAGCATGAAAAGGCGAAGTTTTGGTGCATTTGCAGCATCCAAGCTTTGTAGTCCCAGGATATGTCTTTGCAAGACCATGTATCTGAACTGCAATGTTAGGATCAACTATTCCATCCATTGCTTGTTGTTTAACTTGTGTCTCTTCTTCAAGCACATCTTTGTCATCTGGCGTATTATGCTCCACGGGTGGAACTGAACCAATACAGCTAAAAATGCTACCTTCTGCAAAGTGTAGAAACGTGTTTTAGTTACGTTTCCCAACACAGAGAATTTTTCATGGGAAAATACCTTCCACTTTGTTGCCCCCTTTGCCAGTCCAATAACCAGGTGCTAAAAAGTAGAAGATCGGTTTTCTTACACCGGACGCGTTGGGAATAATATTGTCAAAGTAGATAGCCAGAACAAACCAGAATAGGAATGTCCCAAGGAGCCACTGGTAGATAATGTTCTACCAAAATTAAAAACACTTGTTTGAGAATGATTTTACTACTAATGGAGTGAAATTTATTTTGAATGGCCACATACAATAGAAATTACGCAAGTCGCTTGGCCCCCTTCACATACGGCTCTATTACTCCAACTGATTCCAGAGCTTTTGGGAGTTGAGGTTGCATCAAGAAGAAGCTTAAGTCCCGCAGAAAAAGTGTTGGGTGGAAAAAGAGACCACATCACCCGACGAGAAACCGCATAAGCGCTGGAATAAGGGAATCCAGTAGCTGATACAATCTGCAGGTAGAATTGTAACTAAGTAAGAAGTTGAAGATTTTGATCAAGAACCAGTTTAATTACTATTTTAGCTAGAGAAGCCATATATACCTGTGTTATAAAACCAATCAAAAACACAAGGAAACCGACGGTTGTTGCCGAAGATGATTTGCTAATAATAGATGATAGCGCAAATGCTAGGCCAATCTAGCAACACAATAAGTAACTTAGATAACTCAAAATTTATACATAAAATATATCAGAAGGTAATTAGAAAATGAAGGTTTTTACCATATTAAACTGAAAGAGCAAGAAAAGTAGGAAGACAAGAACAAAACTGTTCTTCAAGAAAAAATCAAACCGGAATATCATTCCAAAGAGGACCAATAAAAGTGAGGAGACAAAAGTAAGGATTCCTTCCCATAAGAGCCATGACAACCAATATGCAGAATCATAAACACCCATCATTGTCATTGCCTGCCGAAGTTTGAGCTCTTTCTCGGTAACCAGGGAACCGAGTTGGAGAACAAAACCAAACATGGAGAAAGCAAGGAAGAACACTGGTCCCATGACTGAGAGTGCAGAGGTAGTTTCAGTTATAATAGCTGGTCGTGCAAATTCCTTAAACCCCAAACCCCAACCAAAATCTGGATCTGCAAGTGAAAAAAACTAACGAGTGTTGGTAAAAGAGTCGACAACCAAAAGATTCAAGAATGGTCCGTCTACCTCCAATTAAGGACCTTGCGATTTCACGCTCTGCAGCGACTTGAAGAGGAACAAGAAACTTAAACGTAGGATCTTCAGTCTGACCACGTTTTCTCTCCGAGGAAGAATTTGTTTGAATACCATAGCTGATTACTGAAGCATTCCTTTCCACAAAATGCAAAGCTCCTGGAACTTGCAAGGGATGTGACAGAAGCCATGCATCTACCTCATCAGGCTCCTTGAACGATTGAACCTGAACAACATCACTTTAAATAACAACCGCAGATCGAAACACTAACCAAGTTATATTAGTAATACCTTGTTGGTTGGAATTGGTCTCCCTGGATTGTTAGCCATAATTGCAGAGACGATATCAGTAACGCGGCGACTATGGTTCCCACTCCACACGAAGTCATAGCAAGGAAGCTTCACAAAGAACTTGTCCTCACAAGGAAGAATCGGTGGGGAAACCAATAGTGTAGGATCAGTGATATTCTTGTACGCTGTTGAGGATGCGTCGCTTGCCTTCATGGCTTCCTCTATACAAAAGATGACAAGGATGAAGAAGAATGAAGAGAAGAGTTGAAGACACGTGGCTCTCTTGTTCCGCCATGAAAGCAATAGATTCTTCCCGAACAACGCCGAGAACTGCTGGTAGAGAAGCGGCAAACCTTCTTGCAAAATCATTATCAAGTTTTTTTTTCTTTAAAATAAATTGTATGTCTTAGGAAAGCAAAGTTATTATCTAATAAAGTTCCCACACACAAAAAAAAAAAAAAAACCAATATTAATTAGAAAGAAAAAAACTATCCGCTTCCAATTTTTTCGGTTGACTAAATTTCATCCCCAGCTTGAAAAATGTGTAAAATTGAGACCTCACATACATTTTATTTGGCACTAAAAAAAAACGCAAGTTTGAAGGAAGAAACGATTACTTAAATTGGCAAGGCAAAAAAAAAAGTGTAAATTCAGACCTCACATATTTTTTCACATTAATTGAAACCACACTTTATTTGGCACTAAAAAAAAGCGCAAGTTTAAAGGAAGAAACGATTACTTAAATTGGCAAGGGAAAAAAAAAAAAAGACGACCACGTGAGACTACCTAAGCCAATGGTGAATCCTAGTCCAGCAAGTTTTTGGACGCAAGCCAATGCGTTACTTAGGAAGAACTTAACCTACCAGGTATGTTTTGATATTGCCGTTTCCGGCAAGTTTCTTAGAATATCTTTGTGTTTAGCTCGGAACGATCTAATTGCTTGAACCCTGAAATGGCAGAGGAAACACATATGGACGAATGTTCGGCTCATCCTGGTTCCACTCTTCCTCTGTTTAATTCTGCTGGCGATTCAAAAAGTGCTTGATGCCTTGATGAAGAGTGTCTCTGATATGTCTAATTGTGGAGGCAACGTTACTTTGCCTGGTGGTATCTGTCCCATCCCAAACCCTCCACCGTTGCCTCCGATGTTGCAGATTCCACAACATGAACTCCGTTCCGTTAAGACCGATTTCTTTTCCTACAAAGATCTCCCTGACAAGTCATGCAGAGGAACAGGATCTTGTCCTGTAACGATACTTATCACTGGTGATAAACTGGCTCTTGGAAAAGCTTTATCCGCAAATATCTTCAGCACTTCTTTTGTGGTTAATTCCTCCGACCTCTTGCCTACTTTAGCCAATAACGTCTTGGTATGTCTCTCTCTCTCTCTCTCTCTCTCTATCTCTGAGTGTAGTTGATTCTCTTATCTCTCAACCACTTCTTTTACTCGAGAGATGATGACTTTCAGGGTTCAACAGAAGCAGCGGGGGAAGACAATTATGAAGACCCGGGGATTGCCTCAGATCTCCCTGTTTACAGTATCCAACCTTCTTGCAGTGCAAACTCTACATGGCCACTCTCGCTCGGACAAATTCAGACAGGTAGATTTTTTTTTTTTTTGTGAATTCTAGGCATAGGCTCATACATCCTCTCAGACATGTAGTTTTGACATGGCTCTAGACGTGAGAAATGCATGCTAATTTGTTTTTTATAAAAAAATTTGATGATTGTTTGTTATTAATTAATTATCTCAGCGGTGAAGTGTGTTCAAGGGTTGTGTCTCTGGAGAAATAACTCTGTAGAGGTCAATGATGAGCTTTTCAAGGGTAGTTGGAGGGGAAACCCTGCGGGGATGACAAATGAGATCGTTGCAGGTTTGTAAAAAACTGCCATTTATATATCCTTGGTGGTTAAATTATTCTGGCATTTATATTATGTCTGCCTTTTTCGTTTGCCTTAGCATACGATCTCATGAGCACCGATAGGAAAAACTTCAATGTGACCATATGGTATAACTCAACCTACAATGATGAGTTTTCAACTGGTCAGCCTTTAAAGCTGGTCCGAGTTCCCCGCTCTATCAATCTGGTAACAAATATTACACCAAATATGGTGATCATGTATTCTCAAGAAATCGTTGAATTTCGCATGCGATTTCATATTTCTCTCCTGCATGCAGATATCAAATGCTTATCTTAAGTTTCTAAAAGGCATTGGGACAAGGATATTATTTGAGTTTCTCAAAGAAGTTCCTAAAAAAGAAACGAAAATGAATCAAGACATTGCGTCCTTGCTAGGCCCACTTTTCTTCACTTGGGTTGTTCTTCTTTTGTTCCCCGTAAGTTCTCTCACACGCTAGTTAATATATTCATCCCATTATATTGTATGTATAATAAATAAGATATAAATAAATCTTGCATGCAGGTGATCTTGACATCATTGGTGTATGAGAAGCAAGAACGTCTAAGAATTATAATGAAAATGCACGGGCTAGGCGATGGTCCATATTGGATGATTTCATATGCCTATTTTCTCACCATATCTATGTTGTATGTTATTTCTTTGGTGAGCTTCGGGTCTGCTATAGGACTCAAGTACTTCCGGCTCAATGACTACAGCATCCAGTTCGTTTTCTATTTTATCTACTTAAATCTACAAATCTCCCTCGCCTTTCTAGTCTCTTCGATATTCTCAAAGGTTAAGACTGTAACAGGTATACTACATCACGTATTTCTTGAATTCCACTGCTCAAGAACATGTCAGAGTTGAAATTTGAATGGCTTTCTCTGTTTTATGGCTTAATTGTAGTCGTTGCTTACATATTGGTGTACGGAACTGGGCTCTTGGGTAGCTTTCTTTTCCAAAAAATGATTGAAAATCAGTCATTCCCGGGTAATTTAGTCAAAAACCCGACCAAAAAAAAAAACCAAATGCTCATGTTTATTTACTATACAATGTATGTACGTTTGCAGAAGAATGGATTCTTGCCATGGAGTTGTATCCCGGCTTTTCTCTATACCGTGGGTTGTATGAGTTCTCGCAATATGCCTCCCGGGGAAACGGGATGAAGTGGCAAGATCTCAGTGATAGCGGAATGGGTGAAGTTTTCTGTATCATGTCAGTAGAGTGGTTTCTTGCTCTCATTGTAGCCTACTATATCGATCAGGTTTTCACATCCGGAAAGCATCCTTTCTTTTTCTTGGTGAACCCTTTCAAGAAACCTTCTTCCCTACCAAGGAGGCCTACTGTGCAAAGGGTGGATTCTAAAAAAGTCTCCATAGATATAGAAAAACTTGATGTCACTGAGGAGGTATGGAAGAAGTCAAGTCTTTTTTTTTTTGCCGTTCCATTAATTTTTCTCATATTTCAAAGCCCTCCTGATAACAAAGAATAATAATAATAATAATCAGAGGGAAAAGGTTCAAAAATTGAGGAATGAAGGTAGCACAGGGCATGCGATCTTGTGTGACAACCTGAAAAAGGTTTATCCAGGTAGAGATGGTAACCCGCCAAAAATGGCAGTACGAGGGTTGTATCTCAGCGTTCCTTCAGGAGAATGCTTCGGCATGCTTGGACCTAATGGTGCCGGCAAAACTTCCTTCATCAGTATGGTTAGTCTTCATTAGTATGGTCAGTTTTGCAAACACAAGTTTCAGAGTGTCAAATTTGGTAATATATCTAGCTGTATTTTCTTTTGCTGCGCTAGATGACAGGGCTCCTCAAACCGTCATCTGGAACAGCCTTGGTTCAGGGTTTGGACATATGCAAGGATATGAACAAAGTATACACAAGCATGGGCGTATGCCCGCAGCATGAGTAAATCCTCAAAATGATTTTTGGATTTTTTTTTTTACTACCAAGCAAATAATGAACACTTTTTTTAAGACTATTCTCTTGGTTTCAGCTTGCTTTGGGAGACGCTAACAGGAAGGGAACATCTTCTCTTTTACGGTCGACTTAAAAATATCAAGGGCTCCGATCTAACACAAGTATATATGTTTATCACCTTGCTAATTTTATTTTGTTTTATATGTGTTGTTATATATATATTCTTGAAGACAATGATAATTCATGGATATATATATATATATGATCATTTTAAGGCTGTTGTAGAATCTCTCAAAAGTGTCAGCCTATTCGATGGAGGAGTTGGCGACAAACCTGCTGGTAATTACAGTGGAGGTATGAAAAGGAGGCTTAGCGTGGCCATATCGCTTATCGGGAACCCCAAGGTACGTACATTCTTGTTAGTTGAATGATTTTGTCTCTCTAAAGTTAATTATTAACAAACTCAAGGTCTCTCGAAAATAGGTGGTTTATTTAGATGAGCCAAGCACAGGACTTGATCCAGCCTCGAGGAAGAATTTATGGAATGTGATCAAGCGTGCAAAACAAAACACAGCAATAATTCTCACAAGTATACATATATTAGTTTCTCAACTTATGGAATATTATTTGCCTCCTAAATTATACTTAATATTAACGTTAAGACAATATTTTCAGCTCACTCGATGGAAGAAGCCGAATTTCTATGCGATAGATTGGGAATTTTTGTAGACGGAGGCTTGCAATGCATAGGAAACTCTAAGGAACTGAAGAGCAGATACGGTGGATCATATGTCTTCACGATGACAACATCTTCAAAACATGAGGAAGAGGTAGAGAGATTGGTTGAATCTATCTCTCCCAACGCCAAGAAGATATATCACCTTGCTGGTACTCAGAAATTCGAGCTCCCAAAGCAAGAGGTTCGGATTGCTGAGGTGTTTCGCGCTGTTGAAAAGGCCAAATCATCCTTCACAGTCTTTGCCTGGGGACTCGCGGACACAACTCTCGAAGATGTCTTCATCAAAGTCGCTAGAACTGCTCAAGCCTTCATTTCCTTGTCTTAAAAGCTATTTTTACAGTTATAGGTTTCTCTTTCTTGGGTCAAAATTCTATGTCTTGAGACACACGCAAACTTACCACCATCTTGTTAATAGTTCTTTAGTGTCGAGGTAGAGTTGCGATAGCAGAGATTTCTGCGAAGGTTTGTGGCATATGCTTTAGAGCAAACACATCATGTTAAATTACGGGACACTTTATGTTTAGCCACATTTAAATTTTTATACTAATTTTTTTAATCATAATTGAATTTTGAGAAGTACCCTATTTAATATCTAAAGCAAAGGACCATTTGTTGAAGTGGCAAGGTCGTTTGCTTAAGATCTTCTGAAGATCTGCTTCCAAATCAAAGAAGAACTGGAAACGAGAATCTCCGAGAGAAACGCCACGAACCCTCCCTTCAACATCCCAGATATGCTCCTTAGGGAGGAGAGAAACCAGAGCTTCAATGCTACGACCGCCTTGGTGAAACATTCGTCCCACCAGGCTGAGCTGAAGTCGAGCTAAGAGTGCGGAGTTGTCCACTTGGGGAAGAACAACCACATCATTTTCGTCCTCCGGCTCAAAAGCAAAAGGTGCTTGCCTAGGAGGAGATTCACGGTACCAGCTTGGCCTTACTCGTTTTTCCATAGACAAAGCAGAGAGAAGAAACTGAGCTTAGCTTAAGAGCTAGAAAAGAGAAAAACACTGCTTGCGCAGGAAAGTCTTCGGAGGAGAGTGAGGGAGACTTCGCCTTCAGACCAAAAGAGAGAGACTGTCCCAGTTCACTTGAAGCAGAGACGAAACAGGGGAAGAAGGAAGTAGAAGCAGAGACATCGTGCTTTAGGAGGGAAGAGACGGTAAGAAACTTCTGAAGCTGAGGAAACAGAAGAGGAGAAACGACCAAGGAGGCACCACCACCAAGAACCAGAGAAAACCAGCTGAAAAAACCAGCCAAAGGATGGTCGGAAAGGTGGGAACACATGCAAGAAGTTCCTTTTTTAGAAACAAATGTTAGGTAAGATCTGTTTCATTTTGAAAAAGCAACTTCTTTTAGGAGCCTCGAGACCCGTGCCTGGGAGAGAAAAGAAGGAGAGGGTTTTGGTAAAAATTCAAATAGAAACAAAATTTTGTGAATAGCTTGCTATGATATGGTCGTTTTTTTCCATAGAAAACATATGGTCGTTTCTGTAATCAATAGCTTGCTATGATATGAGCAAGTAAACAATAAATAATGTGCGTTGTAATGCGTTTTATCTTCTTCTTCTTTTTTTTGTATCTCTTTGGTTATAATCTTTTTCTTTTTTAATTGTTATATGGGATAATATATAATGAGAAGATATCTTATTGATAAGTCTCCCTTCTTCCTTCTGTTTGAAACATTTCATATCAGCCAAAGCCAATCCGCATACAAAAATAAAATTTGTTGTTATATCACTCTACGTAGTTAGTATTCAATATTTACGTTTCACAGAAGAATGGACTGTTGCAGGATCGGATATTGCAGGGATATCAGTAATCATGTGGGTGTCATCCAGATTCATATTTTGCTGTATTGTTGAAGCCATGCATATGTGAAACCATCATGGCCCTCTCTTAAAATAAGAGACGTGAATCAACTACTGAAAACCATCAAAACATCACAAGCCTTAGAGCATGCACATAGTTGATACTAATAGAGTATCATTAACAATTTTTTAGTATTAATTTTAATATTTGTTTATTGTTTGAGATTTTTTATGATACCGGTACTAAATATGTTTCCATTGGTGAAACCGGTTTAAGTATCATAAAAAAAAAATTATTTGCAAAATCAAAAATAAATATAGAAAAACATAGGATTACAAAAAGTAATATTACAATCCAAAAAAACGTAGAATATACTTAAAGCAAAAAAAAACATAAAATTTATAAAAACATAAAAAAACATGATGATAAAGATAATTTAGTCGCCACGAGTCAATTACTTTGGCCTTATTTTTGCCAAAAATGCTCAATCAAATCTTCTTTCAATTGTCGATACGTTGAAATTTACATGCTTTTTCCTTGCACGCTTTTGTCTTTTGGTCTCGGATTCATGATAGGGCCAAATAAATTCAAATTTGGGAATAAGGAGGGTCCAACATTTTTCGAAAGAAATAAGTGTTAGCCACGTGAGCTACAAGGATTTGGTTTACCACCAAGCTCTTCTTCTCTATAGTCTCAACGAGTCTTTGGCTAAAACAATTCTATAAGGGTCAAACCAAATCGAAACAAACAAACATCAGGTTTACATGTACATACAAAATCGAAGAAGCTACTAATTGAGGCCTCATCTCTGCCAAATCTATGTATATTCCGACTTATCACAACCACAAAACTAGGCAAATAGAAAAAAAGAAAGGAAGTGAACAATCATCAGATGGAGTTGAGTCATCATCAATGCTTCCCACACAGAATGTTTCTGCAAAATAGAGAAGCCCATCTACAATCGTTAATGGCTTTGAGACTTCACATAAACATAAAAAAACCATAGAACCAAAGAAAAGCATATATAAAGACAAGTGCTTTAGTCCACCTGTTACTTCATCAACATTATCAACCGGTCCTGCACAAGTAAACAGTTTTATAAAACTATTACACTTGTATCTAACATATATGATATATGCTTACTAAATAAAACTCATCTCTTCTTCTCCACCAACTATCAAAACTGATCCAGAAGATTTGATCTTCTCATATTCTACAACAATAAAGATCAAATGTTGTATAAATCATACTAAAGACAAACAAAATATCTCCACTCACAATTTCATTACCAACCAAAACAAACAGAAATCACATGAAAAAGATGTCAGGATTTAGATTCATACCAGCTTGGTAATGTGACAGCTTCTCTTGTCTAGTTTCAGATTCCACCGCCGATCACCACCACTCTCTTTCCTTGTCTAGAACCAGATTCAATCCTTTCCATTTTTAGCGATTCAAGCTCCAAATAAAAACAAATCCAAAAACGATCAAGAACACATAAGATCAATCTAAAGTAAAGAGTTTTGAAATTTCAGCAAAATCAATATTCCCAAAACCTAATTGATTAATGGAATCCAAGAGATCGAAATTGAACAGACCTGTAATATTAAACCTTCTTCGATGAGAGGTCTTGATCTTCTTCAATGGAACCCATCGTGACTTCTGCTCGCCAACCTGGCGAGACCGCCTCTAGGGTCACGAGCTCCGGCGTGACTGCGCCTCTTCGCTCGGCCAAAAGAGCTGAGACCGGAAGAAATGGAGAGGTGTTTATGGAGAAGAAGAAGAATCGGCGGAGGAGATGAAATTTTCTGGATCGCGTTTGATGTGAGATTTTGAGAGCAAATGAATTTTTTTTTTCTCTGTTTTCACCAGAAAATATGTTACCAAAAAAAATAAAACGGACCAATGGCAAACTGACACATCATACTAAAGTGGGTATCAAAAGTATCAGTCCACTGATACGTATCAGACCCAATTTTTGTGTTTGATCCATTATTAAATAGTTTTTGGGCTAGTGATACCCAAAATAAATTACCCATGTACATGGTCTTATAGGGTCGAGACTCGAGAGGATTAAATCAAAAGAAAATCATTTCTTTTTTTTGACCTGTAGGCTGTAGATAGATGGTTCATTAATATTGTAATTTATGTCCTAACTAAATTTTTTTTTTTTTCCTAACTAAATTTATCCTATCTAAAAATATATCCAGAGAAAAGCGAATATCCAGAGAGATTTCTTCGAATCTCGTTTACCATTTCTTAATTAATTAACGACCTTAAATTTATCAACTATTTTCTTCTTATTCATTTTGATAGTCAATTTAAGACTTTTAAAGCATCTATATAAATCCAGTTACCATAGAAAGCAAGACACTATTAAAAATTTATAAAAAATATTTTCACCGTGTCGTTTCCCTGTACCTCTTTAAGAATAAAAAAGAAAAAAAATGGGAAAAATTTCGTTAGCGATATGTCTAACGTTGCTTGTCACATTAAGCACTGTTTATGAAACACAAGGGACGTTCTCATTACCCCTTTACTTGAAAAATTTCCCCAAAGTGGGCAAAGACTATGAGGCTTTCGCAAACAAAGGTATATCGGACTTCTTGGGTGAACTGGAGGGTATGTGTCCTAAAACCGCAGAGTTCAAGGATTTCTTTGAAACGTTGAAGGATTACATGGCCTCCTTCAATGCGGCATCACCAGGGTCAAAAGACAACCTGTTCGAGATGTCAGTAAAATCTGAAAAGCTGTTCAAGGCTATGTCTGCTTTCAACAGTAGTAACGGCGGAACATCAGTAAGTTTTTAGTTTGACGTTTAACATTCATATATATATTGGTATGTTTGTCACATTTTCAAGTGCAATAGGAGGATTCGTGGAAGCTGGTGGATGGCTTGTTGTCAATGGGTAAAGGTTTGGTTGAGATGAAGAAGAGCGGTTCGAAGGAGATAACTTTTGAACAGAGAAGAGATCTGATCAGTTCTATGGTGAAATGGGCTAGAGCTATCGGTCTATTCGTGAAGGCGGCCTCTGAAGATAAAGGACAATCTATTGATCTGGCATCTTTTGGGATCGACTATGACAACCATGTAGAATCCCCTTTTTCAAAAAGAGCTATGTATGAAAAACAAGGAACGTTCTCATTACCCCATTACTTGAAGAATGCCCCCAAAATGGGCAAAGACATTGAGCCTTTCGCTTACAAAGGTATGTCGGACTTCTTGGGTAGCCTAGAGAGTAAGTGTCCTGCGACACCAGAGTTCCAGGATTTCTTTGTAAAGCTGGAGGACTACATGGCCTGCTTCAAGTTGGTATCACCCGAATCAAAAGACGACATGTCAGTGAAATCTGAGAAGCTCTTCAGGGCTATGATTTTATTGGATGGTACTAAAGGCGGAACATCAGTAAGTGCTAACTAGACATTAACATTTATATGGTTTATTTTTTTTATTTAAAATGAAAATAAAGATTTTTTGGCCATATATAGGTGGATTCGTGGAGGATGCTTGATGGTATGTTGTCAATGGGAAAAGTTTTGGTTGAGATGAAGAAGAGCGGTTCCAAGGAGATAACTTTTGAACAGAGAAGAGATCTGATCAGTTCTATGGTGAAATGGGCTAGAGCTATCGGTCTATTCGTGAAGACGGCCTCTGGGAATAAAGGAAAACCTATTGATCTAGCACCTTTTGGAATTGATTATGAAAACAATGTCGGAAATGGGAAAGGTAACTATAGAACCGGCCCTGTTCTGATAGACGACGGCAGCGAGCTCTAAAGCCTCCAAAGTAAAGAAAGATGTAAATAATTATGGAGACAGCCCTGCTTTGTTAAACAGCAGCGAGCTGTAGAACATTTTTGGTTATTATAACTAATAAACTAATCATATTTATAAAAATATTACAATCTTAACTCGTTAAACAGAAGCTTATTACCTCTATATACATCTATTATTGAACAGCCTTACGTAACACAAGTGAAAAATATTAACATCCACACATGTTGATCTTCAGTTTCTTTTCTTACACGTACGCTAGTTTTGGATCAATATTTATGTGTCTTGAAACACACGTAAACTTACCAACCAACCTGTGTTCATATATCTCAGGCAACCTGTATATATATACTTTGTTCTCCATCTCAAACATTATTTTAACCTAATTAGGATTCTGTTTTTTACTATTCTCGATACTGTTGCTGAAAGAGTGTAAACAGAACAATTTTTCTTACTCTGAAAATTTGACAACATACTTTCTAATTGTCTCCATAACTGTTTTTAAACTCCAGCATAAACCAAATAAAACATATGTAGATCCCAAACTGCCCAAGAAGAGAATGTTAATTGTAAGATTCATAATCAATCACAATACCCCGAACTCGTCGCTGCCCATGTCCTAATACTTGTGATGATGGTTCATATATCACTGAGACATTCTCTGGTATCCGCATCTCCGGCGAGTGTCCAGAGATGCACATCGATCCTGACCCGTCTTGTTGCCAATACACTTCCACCATTATTCCTCTTGGATTCTCTGCGTTTTCTGTTCCAGGGATACCTACAAATCTTGCTCCCACAGGTATCTGAACATTGAGGTTAATTAGTTTGTGTCCATTAATTAATTAATTCTCAATACTGCAGTTTATAGACGGTTACGTGTGAAACTGATTATTTTGATGGACGTCGTAGATTTACCTCGACTGCGATGCCTGATTCTAACTCGAGAGTGACCATGGTTCCTTCAACAGTTGCGCTTTCTAGTTCAGCACGTCTAGCTATGTTCAAAAACACTTCTTCAAGAGTGGCAAGACCGAGCTGAATGTCTGAGATGCCAAATTCTGATTCTCTATCTTGTAGTTCCGCGAAAAACCCCTATTCTCGTTAGTTATGGAAAAATACCTCATTCATTAATCAGATGAAGAAGATCCAAAAGATATATAATCAAAGCTTTTGTAGATGGTTACCGTCAAAAGTTGCTCTTTGTCGTGTGGGATAACAAAAGTCATGAAAGCTTTGCTTTCTTCTGTTGGCTCAACTTTTAGATGCTGCAAAAATTAGTTCAAGGCTCAGAGGCACTAGATTATTTACTAACTAAACAATGCTACTAAAAAACTTGAGTGTACATACATACCTCCTTAAAGAATCTTTTCAATGGCTCGGGTGAAGTACTTCTAGCACCGTCTTTTTTGTTTTCGGGGAAGCTAACCGTAGTAATAAAACCCGTTCCAAAGCGCGATTTTAACCTGATTGAGGTTCCAATGCAGCGGAGCCTGCCTTTAGCCATGATCCCTATTCGGTCACCTAAAATATCAGCTTCTTCCATAGAATGCGTCGTTAGTATGATTGCACGACCTTTCTTTGATTCTTGTATAATGTCCCACACATGTCTTCTCGTGATAGGGTCCATACCGGTTGTCTACAATCCACAAAAGCATAACTAAGATATAAAAAAAAATTGATGTCTCTCTATATAAACTCATTTTTTATAGAGGAATGTTGCAAATTACATACCGGTTCATCTAGAAAAACCAGCTTGGGATCACCAATGAGTGCTATTGCAACGCTTAGTCGACGTTTCATTCCACCACTGTAACTTCCTGCTCTAATTTTTGCCGCTTCTGTTAGCTTTACATCTGCCAGTAACTTGACTGCAATCTATATAACGGAACAAACAAATTTAAAGGAGAGATATGCTTAGCCAAAAGTTTGAATCAGATATTTTTAAAACACATGAATGAAGTAAAATTTATGTTATTCGGGTGATGTACCGATTTGATCGATGCTGGTGGCAACCCTTTGATGCTAGCAAAGAGGTGGAGGTGCTCTTCACTAGACAAAGCATCCCAAAGAATATCAAACTGTAAACAAAAGAGTGAAAAAGACATAAAACCATTTTAAGCATACTAATTAGAAGATTGTTTTGTCTGATGAGGACAATGAAGAATAAATTAATTGACACTACCTGAGGACAAACTCCTATCATTTTACGAATGTTGGACATACCAACAGAGCTTCTTATGAAATTTCCATAAATTATTGCTGTTTTAGTCAATCAAAATGGATCCTATTAGAATAGTTAATTTCTTCCAAAATCTTGCTTCATTCAGACTGAAACAAAAAGCTTTTCTTACCATCCCCACCAGTGACTGGATTTATGCCAGTCAAACAACTAATCGTAGTTGTTTTCCCAGCGCCATTGGGTCCGAGAAGACAAAACAACTGATCTTTGGCAATATTCAGCCACAAACCCTGAAAAGTTTCCATGAATGTCACACATTTATCTCAGGTTACATGAGCTAGGAACAGCTTTGGCAAAAACCATACATTACCGGAAAGATTTTCGTTGTTTTCTTATCGGAAAATAACATACCTTTACAGCATGAAAAGGCGAAGTTTTGGTGCATTTGCAGCATCCAAGCTTTGTTGTTCCAGGATACGTCTTTGCAAGACCATGTATCTGAACTGCAATGTTAGGATCAACTATTCCATCCTTTGCTTGTTGTTTAACTAAAATCTCCTCTTCAAGCACATCTTCGTCCTCTGGTGTAATATGCTCTACATGTGGAACTGAACCAATACAGCTACAAATGCTCCCTTCTGTAAAAGTTTAGAAACATGTTTTACTTACGTTTTCCAAAACACTCATAAGTTTTATTATTGCAATAGAGAAAAATACCTTTCACTTTGTTGCCTTCTTTGCCAGTCCAATAACTAGGTTTTAGAAAGTAGAAGATCGATTTTCTCACACCGGATGCATTGGGGATGATGTTGTCAAAGTAGAGAGCCAATACAAACCAGAAAAAGAACGTTCCCACGAGCCATATGTAGATTTTATTCTGCCAATAAAGACATTTTGGTCAGAGAATGATACACAACTATTAGATCAAATCTAGCTATCTCAGAAATGTTGACATACAGTTGTAATAATGCAAGTGCTCTCGCCCCCTGCACATATTGCTCTTTCACTCCAACTAATTCCAGGATCTCCAGGAGATGATGTCGCCTCAAGAAGCAGCTGCAGACCCGCAGAAAAGGTATTCGGTGGAAAGAGTGACCAAATCACACGGCTACCAACCGAATACGAGCTTGAATAAGGGAATCCTGTAGCTGTTACAATCTGCAGTTTGAACTAGAATTAGTAAGAGTCCAAGATATGAAGAACCAAAATTTCAGCTACTATGTTAGCAAGAGAGGCCAAACCTGTGTTATAAAACCAACCAGAAACACAAGGAAACCAACAGTTGTTGCCGAAGATGATTTGCTAATAATAGATGATAGCGCGAATGCTAGGCCAATCTAGCAACACAAGTAAATAGATAACTTAAATGATTATACACAAATATCTTAGAAGAAAGCAGAGTATAGAATTAGAAAATGAAGATTTTTACCATATTAAACTGAAAAAGAAAGAAAAGTAGGAAGACAAGAACAAAACTGTTCTTCAAGAAAAAATCAAACTGGAACATCATTCCAAAGAGGACCAAGAAGAGTGAGGAGACAAAGGTAAGGATTCCTTCCCATAAGAGCCATGACAACCAATATGCAGAATCATAAACACCCATCGTTGTCATTGCCTGTTGAACAACAAAGAAAGAAAAATAATGATCCAATACACAGAATGGTAACAAAACCTCATCAGCTACCAGAAGAAAGAACAGAGATTAAAATAAAACCTCGCGAAGCTTTAGCTCTTTCTCGGTAACCACAGAACCAAGTTGGAGAACAAAACCAAACATGGAGAAAGCAAGAAAGAACACTGGTCCCATAAGATAAAATGCAGAAGTGGTTACTACACCACCAATCCCCGGACGCGCAAATTCCTTAAATCCAAAACCCCAACTAAACTTTGGATCTGAAAATGTATAAAGAAGCGACTTATTCCATGTTATAAGAAGCAAGCAGCCACATATAAACTTACACACTGCTACAAAATCTTCCTAACACAAAGATTCAAGAATATGGTATATACCTCCAATTAAAGACCTTGCTATTTCGCGCTCTGCAGCGATTTGAAGAGGAACAAGGAACTTAAACGTAGGATCTTCACGCCGACCACGTTTTTTCTCGGATGAAGAGTTTGTTTGAATTCCATAGCTTATCACTGTAGCATTCTTTTCCACAAAATGCAAAGCTCCTGGTACTTGCATTGGATGTGACATAAACCATGCATCTACTTCCTCAGGTTTTTTAAATGATTGAACCTGAAGGAAACCAAACCACACAAAAAACATAACTACTTAAGATTTTTGTACTTCCCATGAAAATGAAGAGACATAATCATGCCAAAAAAAACTCTAACCTTATTGCTCGGAATTGGTCGTCCTGGATTGTTAGCCATAATTGCAGAGACAATGTCAATCACACGACGACTCTGGTTCCCACTCCACACGAAGTCAAAGCATGGAAGTCTCACGAAAAACTTATCCTCACATGGCGGAATTGGAAGAGAGACTAATGCTTTAGGATCTGTGACATTTCTGTGCGTAGTCGAGGTTAACTCGCTCGCTTTGCTAGATTCCTCGATAGAGAAGATGAGGAGGATGAAGAAGAACGAAGAGAAGAGATGAAGACACGTGGCTCTCTTGTTTCGCCATGAAAGCAGTAGATTCTTCTTGAACAAAGCTGTGAATTGCTGATGAAAAAGCGGCAAGCCTTCTCGCAGAGTCATGATCAGAGGAAGAAGAAGAAGATTAGAGGATTTTTTTATTATTATTTTGAAATAAATATAACGTTTATCTTTAATCTAGTAGGTTTACATAAATTTACTTAAGGAAACGCCTATGAAACTCTCATTTATTATAAAGTAAATAATAATAATAAAGTAATTTTGTTTATTACTCTAAAAAAGGTTTCAAAGTTCAGAATTCTTTAAAAGTTTTTTTCTTATTTTGTCCATGATTTTAATCAGTTAAAGGAAACGCGTTTTCTATATTTGTAAATACTCTTTTAACATTTTTTTATATTTCCGTTTCTACATATTAAATTTGAAATGTTTCCAATTAGTATTTATTGACTTCTTGGTATTTTTTTGGAAGACAATCTGTATCCAATCCATCATTACAAAGGGTCATGTATCAGATTTTTTTTTTTTTTTTGGTAAAATGATGTATCCAGATTGTTGTTACACTGTATACAACCAAATCTTAATACAAATATGTTAAGAGGGTTTTATTGGATTATTATCAACTATGCTTTTGATTAATTAAAAAAAAATTGAAGGGCTGATTTTTAATTAGTAGAGAAGCTTTTGGACAAGATTATTAAAAAGTGGTGTTCGGAAGAAAAACAGAAGAAAAATTAAAAGACTAACGAAACTTCTTTTCTTCATCAATGGCGGATCCTAGTCAAGAAGCCAGTTTCTGGGCGCAGGCAAATGCGTTACTTAGAAAGAACTTAACCTACCAGGTATGTGTTTTTGTTGTACATGTGAATCGGTGATTTTTTTTTTGCAAAATGAGATACGATCGTTAATGGAAAACATGGTTTGAATCTCTTAGACTCGATTTTTGGGTGCAGAGGAGACACATATGGACGAATGTTAGACTCGTCCTGGTTCCACTACTCCTTTGCTTACTTCTCCTAGGGATTCAACTGTTGCTTGATGCTGTGGTGAATAAGGCCTCTGATTTGACTAACTGTGCAAGTCAAGATGATTTTTCTAGTGGTGATTGTCCCATCCCAAACCCTCCATTGTTGCCTCCACTGTTACAGATTCCAGAACCTGAATCTCGGGCTGTCAGTGGTGGTTTCTTTTCATACGAAGACCTTCCTGACAAGTCGTGTAGAAAAACAGGAACTTGTCCTGTTACTATACTTGTAACTGGGAATAACCATTCCCTTGGTCAAGGTATATATTCTTTACATTTACTTTATTTTTGGGTTGTTGCTATGTAACTTATCAGTTGAGTGTTTCTACAGCTTTATCTGGGAATATGTTTGGTGGTTCGTTTGCTGTGAATTCCTCTGACCTCTTGTCTAGTTTAGCCTATAATGTCTTGGTACGTTTTGATATTTCCTTTCCATCAACAAAGTGCAAACATTTATCTCTATGTCTTAGATTTTTTACTAGAGGGTCATGTGACTTCAGGGTTCAACACTAGCACCAGGCACAAACAATTATGCAGATCCCGGGATTGAGTCGGATATTCCCATCTACAGTATCCAATCTCAGTGCAGTCCAAACTCTACATGGCCACTCTCACTCGGAAAAACTCATACAGGTGTTTTTCATACTTCTTGATGTTCAAAGTTTAAGAAAATAAAATGAACAGTGAGAAATGTGGTTGTCTTCACTTCTGATGATGAACTTAGTGGTTGTGTCTATATTACCTCAGTGGTGAACTGTGTTCAAGGGTTGTCTCTCTGGCGAAATAACTCTGTAGAGGTCAATGATGAGCTTTTCAAGAGTAGTTGGAAGGGAAATCCTGAGCGGATGACAAATGAGATTGCTGCAGGTTTGTTTAATTTTCTTCTATATATATATGATAAGTATCAAGCTATGATTTCTTACTGTTGATGTATTTTTGTTGTCTTAGCATATGATCTCTTGAATACGGATAGAAACAACTTTGATGTGACCATCTGGTATAACTCAACATACATTGACGACCCTTCAAGGGCACCTTCGGTTCGAGTTCCTCGCTTGCTCAATCTGGTATGAAATAATACTACTCTCAAGGCATCCTCTTTGTTGAATTTGTAATGTATGCTCTTTTACATGTTTCTTTTTATTGAACCGGTCCAATGTTCACACCGTGCAAAATGCAGGTATCAAATGCTTATCTTAAGTTTCTGAAAGGCCCCGGGACAAGGATATTATTCGAGTTTGTCAAAGAAGTTCCTAAACACCAAACCAAATTCCATCTTGATATCGCTTCCATGCTTGGCCCGCTCTTTTTCACTTGGGTTGTTCTTCTTCTATTCCCCGTAAGTTCTTTTTCGTACAATTGATTACTTTAGGCCATTACAAGTACTAAACTCAACAAAGTATCCATCCCAATTATGTGTTTGTGTATATATAATTTTGCAGGTGATCTTGACATCATTGGTGTATGAGAAACAAGAGCGTCTAAGAATTATAATGAAAATGCACGGGCTAGGCGATGGTCCATATTGGATGATTTCCTATGCCTATTTTCTTTCTCTATCTATGTTTTATGTCATTTCTTTGGTGATCTTCGGGTCAGCGATAGGACTCAGGTACTTCCGGCTCAATGACTACAGCGTCCAGTTCGTTTTCTATTTTATCTTCGTAAATCTGCAAATCTCCTTCGCCTTTTTAGCTTCTTCAATATTCTCAAAGGTTAAGACTGCAACAGGTACTAACATCACATTTCTTAAATCATCTCAAGAAACAAGAATATGTTAAATTTCAAATAGCCTAGTGAAATTTCAACGGCTTCTTGATTTTTTTTGGCTTAATTGTAGTTGTTGCTTATACATTGGTGTTTGCAAGTGGGCTCTTGGGCAGCTTTCTTTTTGGAGAACTGCTTGATTCTCCCTCATTCCCCGGTAAGTTAACAAAATCAATACCTGGAAGAACAAATACACATGTTTATGTCACCGCTTAGTAACTAGTATCTACGTTAACAGAAAAAGGGATTCTTGCCTTGGAGTTGTATCCCGGCTTTTCCTTATTCCGCGGATTGTATGAGTTCTCGCAATATGCCTTCCGTGGAAGCGGGATGAAGTGGAAAGATCTCAAGGAAAGCGGAATGGATAAGCTGTTCTACCTCATGTCTGTGGAGTGGTTTGTGATTCTCATTGTGGCCTACTCTGTCGATCTAGTTTCTTCATCTGGGAAAAGTCCTTTCGTTTTCTTGAAGAACCCTTTCAAAAAATCATCTTCCCTACCAAGTCCTAGTGTGCAAAAGCAAAGCTCTGACAACGTTCTCATTGACATGGAAAAAACAGATGTCACTCAGGAGGTATGAAAAATTTTTTTTATTTCTTTCCGTGTTTCTCCGACTTCAAGTAGTTCTGATACAAAAGGAAAATAATCAGAGGGAAAAAGTTGAGCAACTGAGGAAAGAAGGGAGCACAGGGCATGCGATTGTGTGTGACAACCTGAAGAAGGTGTACCCCGGTAGCGATGGTAACCCGCCAAAACTAGCAGTAAGAGGGTTATACCTCGACGTTCCTTCAGGGGAATGCTTTGGCATGCTTGGACCTAATGGTGCCGGCAAAACCTCTTTCATCAATATGGTGAGTTTTGCAAAGCCACTATTTTTACACTAAATAACGTTTCAGAGTGTCAAATTTTGTAACATTTGTTCTGCTGCGCCAGATGACTGGGCTTCTGAAACCGACATCTGGAACAGCGTTTGTTCAAGGTTTGGACATATGCAAGGATATGAACAAAGTATACACGAGCATGGGCGTATGCCCACAGCATGAGTAATTAACACTCTTAACAACTTTTGCATTTTATTCCTGTACCATATAAATAAGGACCAATATATTGATGGATTTGTTTTGTTTTTTGATGTCATTCTCTTGGTTTCAGCTTGCTCTGGGAGACGCTAACGGGAAGGGAACATCTTCTCTTTTATGGGAGGCTTAAGAATATCAAGGGCTCTGCTCTAACACAAGTAAGTTTTTCAATTGGTAATTTATTTATATGTGTTACTACTCCATATATAAGACTGAGTTAATTGGATATGATCATCTTTCAAGGCTGTGGAAGAGTCTCTCAAAAGTGTTAGCCTTTTCGATGGAGGAGTTGCTGACAAACCTGCTGGAAAATACAGCGGAGGTATGAAAAGAAGGCTTAGTGTAGCCATTTCGCTTATCGGGAACCCAAAGGTACATCTCCGGGTCTCTTGTTACGTGATTATGTATGCAACAGATCAAATTTATTAACGAATCCATGCTCTGATTTTTCAAAAGGTGGTTTACATGGATGAGCCGAGCACAGGACTTGATCCAGCCTCAAGAAAGAATTTATGGACCGTGATCCAGCGTGCAAAACAAAACACAGCCATAATCCTCACAAGTATTTTCAATCTCTTTCTCACTACTCACTCTTCTACATGTGAATCTGATAGATACCATGAAGCTGAACCTATTACTCTTAGTTAAGACTCATTTTGTTCAAAAGGGTTTTTTTGGCAAGTGATGGATACTTTAACCTAGAGAAGCTTGTCCCTCACGTTTTACAGCTCACTCGATGGAAGAAGCAGAGTTTCTTTGCGACCGATTGGGGATTTTTGTAGACGGAGGCTTGCAATGTGTAGGAAATCCGAAAGAGTTAAAGGGAAGGTATGGGGGATCATATGTCTTCACGATGACGACCTCAATTGAACACGAGGAGAAAGTAGAGAGAATGGTTCGACACATTTCACCAAACGCCAAGAGAGTATATCATTTAGCGGGAACACAGAAATTCGAGATCCCTAAGCAAGAAGTCATGATTGCAGATGTGTTTTTGATGGTGGAGAAGGCCAAAAGAAAATTCACAGTTTTTGCTTGGGGACTCGCAGACACAACCCTGGAAGACGTCTTCTTCAAGGTTGCTACAACTGCTCAAGCCTTCAACTCTTTGTCTTAATGATTCACCCTACATAGGTTGAATCACTGTTGTTATTGTTATTATTATTCAAGGTAGGGCTTTTTATTGACAAATTTAATGCCTTAAGAGACACGTTAACTGCAATAGACTTCTATAATCAATGTTTTGAAACATGTACCAATCCGACTGGTTGGACCGACCGACCGATAAACTTGCAATCTGATCAATAATCCGATACTCTTGGATCTTAAAAACATTTCTCCTATTCAATAACAGCAATAAGATGAGTAAGAGAAACACTCTAAAGCTCATCTCCGTTGGTGACTCTAGAGCCAGAGCCAGTAACCAAAGACCTCGTCATGTTCTTTATATGCTCTTGATCGATCCCAAAAACTCCTCCAATATCCACGACTCCAGGATTCTGGCTATTGTAAAACGATAAAGCGGTGGCTCGTTCGAAACCACCACTCAAGCAGAAATGAAGCAATCCTTTGGGGAAGACAAAAACATCGCCTTTTCGCAAAACTGTTTGAAAAATCTTGTTTTTAGTATCCAAAAATCCAGCAAACACGACTCCTTTGACCACAAAGAGCATCTCCGATGACCTCGGATGCGAATGGAACGGCACAGATCCGTCCCTTTCAAGATCAGTCCTTGAGACGGAGAGGCCAAGAGTGTTGAGACCTGGAAACTCTGAAGCAGTGAGCAATGTGACGCTCGACTGGAGATAATTGTCTGTATCTCCAGCTACTGTAAGTTTGGTGGACTTGAAATCCTGAGCGTTAATCTCAGTCGGGTTCTTGCAAGGATAGCCGTTAATGAAGAAGATGCTCTGTTTTCCCGGAGCAGTCGGACATGTGTCCTGCATATTATCCGAATCCGCGGAGACAGATAAGAAGATTGCACAAAACACGATCACGACGAAGAACTTCATCCTTGTGATTATGTTATGAAGAGTACTTAACTTGTGATTAACCAGATATAAACAGAAAATTTAAAGAAGGCCAAAAAAATACTCTGTTTCAAAGCGATGTGGCTTAGAGTTGAATACACTACTTAGTGGCTTTTTGAGTAAGATTATGTTCTAAGGTGAAAATCGCTTCTAAGTAATATTTTTCACTGATTTTCCAACTTATTGATGTTGACATTATTACTTCTTCAAGCTCTAATTTTATTTTGTTTACCTGAAACTGCAATTTTGCTTTGCTATAACAGGAAACCAAAGAAGCTTAACTGGCTAACTTACTTCCATGAAACTTTTGGTATTTTCCTCTAATGAGAAAGTACAATGGTTTGGTTAACGAAATCATACAATTGATAGGGACAAACGTTTATGTCCAAAACCCAATTAATCCAACTAAGGAAAAACTTGGAGATTATTTGAAATGGAGCCGGGAAGAACGACGTTTCTTTAGCGCCCGTTCTCAAGTAGGGAAGTATTGGTTTCATCGCGCTTGTCTACGCTCTGCAGAATATCTTTGATGAACTTTATGAAAGAGCAGAGTCCACCCAAGAAATTATGGTCGATGACACCGTTTCCATCAAGAACATGCGCGAAATCCACCAGCTTTACTTGTGCACGTGCCGCCGGTGCATCATCTCCTTCTTTCATCAAGATCGATTCATTCTCGTAAATCATCAGAATCGAGCAAGAATTGAAATGGTAAAGCGTTTGAATTTCAAACCAATCTTTAAGCTCCAACAACTGCGCTAAGATCCCATTAGAACCGCCATAAACCTCTGATGCAAAAGCACAGTTTGGAGTCAAGTTAGAGTCAGCGGGAGAGTTCGATGACACAAACTTCCGCAAAGCCAATCTAGCGCCATCTGCATTGTACCCAAGAACAAGCTTCTTCTCAGCTCGCCAGAAACTTGATTCTTGGTGGTCAAAAATCTTAAAACCCGAAACCCTGAATCCCAATGAAACCGTGGTGGTCTGTCTATCTTTCTTAATACATTTCTTGAAGTATTCTTCGGATACATCCGGGTACCATGTCCTAGATCCAATCTTAACATCCATTACCGACGGATTTGAGTATCCCGAAACAACATCATCAAGAACAAGATGAGGAAGTTTGCCAGATCCATCAGATGCTTCAACTAGCTGAGTGCCGTGATACACCGGGAAGTATCTATGTATATGATCTGGAACCTTCTTGTTCGATGTGAAAGACTCATAGAACTTAGCCTCATGTTCGCCACGAGAATCTCCCTGAAGTGGCTTGAAGAATCGGCCTTGGTCATCTACGAGTGGACCTAGCTTCCCATCACTAGCAATGTGACCAGCAACTTGGTGTTCAGGGACCTTGAGCATCTTCTTTGTGCAAGAGTATATACGATGATGAATCTGAAGAACAAGAAATCAAATTCACTGTTAAGAAAATTTCCCACAACAAGAAAAAAAAAACTGAAACTTTCTAAAGAGATAGATCTAAACATTTATAGATCATTGATTTAAGTCAAAGTTTCATCCTTTAATTTCCAGGAAATTACTCAAAATCAACCAAACGCAAAATCAAAAAAAATAGTGTCTTTCTTATGAATCAAATTAGTGTTCTTCAATTCTCTCCACATAACAAAGAGAAAAAAAAACAAATCACGTCTATCAGAATTCCTTGAGTTCATCGCCGAAGAAGAATCATAAAAGCGCGAAATAAGACAAACCCAGAATCACAACATGAAAAATAAACAATTTGAGATCTCTAAAAGCGTACAAAAAGTGGAAAAGTCTTTAGATTAGAATAAACATTGAATGGAACTTTAGAGAAGTAACGATTTCTGGTGATAATACATACAAATTGAATTGGAGCAACACGAAGAACTTTGCTCTAAGGTAAGAGGAGATTACTCAAAGAAATTATCAACATTCGAGAAGAAATATATTACCAAACAAATCTCCCCTGAGAAATTTTGATTCTCAAAACGATAGCAAAAGAAAAAATTTCTATGCAAAAAAATCCTAAGCAACCTTGTCGGGAAGACGAATAAATAAATAAAAGTAATTAAATAATAGTTGAATAAATTCCTTTTGGAAAAAGATCGAATCACTAAACCGGACTCGTATGAAACCGGATTTCAGAGATAACCGGTTTTGAATATATAGGGCTTCTTCACCTGTCTTTACAAAAATCAGCCGTCATCTCCTACCTCAGCCTCTATTACTCCGGCCGGCGAAATTAGGGTTTTTGGTAATAATCTCTAATTCGAGTGTACTACTCTCTCTTCTTGAATCATCCATGGTTTTTAGTGTATATCTGTAAAAACCCTAATAAAGAGCTCATTCTCTGTTACGATTCTGTCTCAAGGGTTTTTAAGAGGTTTTTGCTTTGTTTATACATAAATGTTTCGTCTTTGTGTGTTCACCAATCCGATTTTTTCTTCTTTTTAGAATCTGTAGCTGTTTGGTGAGATAAGCATAAATGGGTCGTTTCAAAAACGTAAGTTTCTCTACGAATTCATGGTATCTCTTTTGTTTTTCAGTATTATGTGATTTTCTGGTTTTAACAACACTTGTGATTGATATAGAATAAGAAGAGTAGGGTCATTGTGAAGCCTATTCCGAAGAAAAATCAAGAGGATGTTAGTCATGTCACTGGGGATAAGATTCCCAAGAGTTTTGTGTTTTCAAGAATGAAACTTCCTGGCCCTGTTAAACAACTTCAGATGGATTTGAGGAAGCTCATGCTTCCCTACACTGCTCTCAGTCTTAAGGTCAGTATTTTAAACTCTTATTTAGTTATAGTTTAGTTTCATTGTATGATAAGTTGTAATATTGAAAGTGTGTTATGTTTCAATGGTTGTGATTTTGATTGTTGCTAATGCTAGTTGTTTCATTTTGTTTATCTTCTTCTTTGCAGGAGAAGAAGCGGAACACTTTGAGGGACTTTTTGAATGTATCAGGTCCAATGGGTGTTACACATTTTCTTATGCTTTCGAAAACAGCGTCTTCACTGTCTCTAAGAGTAGCAAGAACCCCGCAGGGCCCGACTCTTACATTCAAAATTCATCAGTATTCCCTAGCATCAGATATAGCTCAGTCTCAGCTTCGACCTAGATGTCCTCAAGATCTTTTCAAGAGTCCTCCTTTGGTAATTAATCTCACTTCTCTCTTACACCAAATATGGTTTTGTAGTTTGTTGGTTTTCCTAACACCTGAGAATGTTAATTTTCTCTTGGTTTAGATTGTTCTTTCTGGATTCGGTTCTCAGGAGTTGCATCTGAAACTAGCAACGATTATGTTTCAGAATATATTCCCAGCTATTGATATTAACACTGTAAGTTTGTTGCCTAGAACTGAATATATACTGTGTTTTTTTATTGTAACTTGTGTCAGCAATTTGATTTTGTTCTTCTGATGGTGAAATATATCAGGTCAAGCTCTCCACCTGCCAGAGATTAGTACTCTTAAACTACAACAAAGACACAAAGCTCATTGATTTCCGGCATTATTCTATAAGACTTCAGCCTGTTGGAGTATCTCGTAGGATCAGAAAGTTTGTGCAAAATCATCAGGTTCCCGATCTTAGGAATCTGCAGGATGTTAGTGATTTTGTCACCAAGTAAGGGATCTACATTGGTTCAGTCTCTTTTTTTATTTATTCCTCTCTGTATCGATGTGGATGGATTAATGTGACATTTCGTCTTTCTTTTTTTGTTGTATCCCTCTTTTCCAGGGCTGGTTATGGATCAGAGAGCGAAGGAGATGAAGAAGCGGCAACAGTGACACTATCATCTGATCTAGGCCGAGTTAACAAAGGTTCCACCAAGAGCGCAGTGAAACTGCAAGAAATTGGACCAAGAATGACTATGCAACTCGTTAAAGTGGAGGAAGGATTGTGTACAGGAGGAATCATATTCAGTGAATATGGTAAACGTTAATCCTTATTTCCTTACATTGTGGTTTATATCACGTCTATTACAGGACAAAACATCTGATTTCGGGTTTGTTTCAGAAAATGTGGATGGAAAGAAAGAAAAGTTAAAGAAGAAACAGGATGAAGAAGGTGCTGAAGAAGAAGAAGAAGATAGTGAAGAAGAAGATGAAGAGGGTAGTGAAGAAGATGGGGAAGACATGGATGAAGATTTTGAAGATTGAAAAGAGTTAAAAATAGAGTAACACTGTTTACACATGAGCCTTGAGTGTTGTTCATCAAATTTTGTTCCTTGGATCTCTGAGTAGCATTGCTTCTATTGTCTGATTAAAATATGTGAGCACAATTACAAAGCCTTTTGTATTATTAAACTAAATGTCTTCCTTTCAATATGAGTGATCTTTTGCAAACCTTTTTAAAGTATCTAACTAATGGATTTGTTTGCATTTTGACGTGAAGATTCCATGTGTTCTTTTCTTTATAACTCGAAAATTCTCAAACTAACTCTGTTCTTCAAATTTTTTGATGAATCATTCAACCACTATGTTACCAGGAGTTGGTTGATACTCTTAATTCCAGAAAACAATAAGTTCATAAACAAGGACATACTGACAGTAAATAATTTGGTCAAAATATACGAACTCCGTGAAGAAATTTAGTTTAACAAACTTCCAAACAGAAAAAAAAAAAAAGATTGAAAAAGACTATCAAGAAAACTAAATCGGTGATATGTTTGGAAAAATAAATGAAAAGTTTATGTAAGCTTTGTATAAATGAAAACCTATAAAAATAACAAAAATGGAGACAGTATGTGTAAGTTTTTTGGTTAAAGAACACAAACGAACAAAAATGGTTTTTTTTTTTTCTAATCAAAAAGAGAAGACAAAAGAATGAGTATTGAAAAGTTGAGATATACGTATGTGCAGGCAGATAAAGTACAAAAGACGCAAGTACAATCTGTTGAGGAATCTAACGGCTTTCCCTCTCGATTCCTGTGGGCCGATTACGGGGGTGATTGGTAGAGGCTGTGAGAACTGTTATTTTTTTCTAAAGTCATTAAAGTCTAAAATTTTCCAATCAGGCTTTTACTTCCTATTTTTTCTCTAAAGTCTTAACCGTCCACTTTTATTTTTTTCCTCTTTAAACTTCTACATTTCTAAAAGCCATGTAAACGAGGCTGTGAGAACTTTTTTGTTAAAATTAAATTAAATTATTTTTCTTCTTTTCATTCTATTATTATTCTTAACTCTATTAATATTAAAAACTCTTTTTTAATCTATATGTAGATTATTACAAATAAATATTGGACTAACTAATACTAATTTTTTTTTCTGATTCTTTTAAGATCCATTTTTCATAATTTTTGGTGAGATTTACTGATTTTCGGAAACCATCATCAATTGTATCAATAACAATAACAACGATTTTTTTACTAGATATAAAATTTTTATTGTATCGTACATGTCATCATCTCATTATTTGTATTATTTAAAAGTTATAATTTTTAAACTCGCAATTTTTATTAATTGGTTTCAAAGCCTCAACAGCCAAAATTTTTACTGCGAAAGTCTTTAAAGTCAAAGTCTTTACAGCAAAAGTTTTTACAGCCAAAGTTCTTAAAGCCAAAGTCTCTACAGCCAAAAATAAAAGTCGTTACCAATCGGCCCCTACATAACTAGTTACGTATCTAAAATTCTGCAGCCAAAAGTTTTTTGTTATGGCCCCGAATTTTACTTGTTTATAAAATACACCCCTTTCTTTTATAATTGTTTCAGAAAACCCCTGAATAGCCTTTACAATATTAGGAATGTCCTAATCAATAATCCAGTGGAATCTGTGAAAAAACAAATCAAGGAACCTCAAATTTGTCTTTCAAAGATTTAATTAGTGCATATATGGGAAGAAATCATTTGAATACTATGATTTTGGTTTTAGTTTTAGTTTATTTTTTTTATTCAATATATAATTCACACTTGAGAGATTTAAAATTTGAGAACATATATTTATAATTTCTCCTTTTCAACTATTAATTATAATCAATGAGAGATATTACTATCTGAAATCACATAGTAAATTGAGAAAGAAGATGCTTTTTTGACAATATGAAAATATGAGTTTAGTTTCATTGTCGCATTTTTGGGTTTAAAGTTCAAAGATTTAGCTATGTCATTATTTTTTTTTATTTTTTTTTGTCAAAGGTGATGAAATTACTAAACTATCAGTGTATACATTAAAAGACCGAGAAAGTCGTTCACATATTAATTGTCGATTTATTTTGTTATTTCTACCCAAAAAAAAATGTTATATGGAAAATGACTAGCAGCTAATCAAAGTTAATATACTTTTTTCGTAGAAGCGTTACCAACTTTTGTTACCGATTGGGATATATATAGTCAGACGATTAGCTCATAAAGCTAAGTGACAAAATTAATAATCAACAGAGAATGATAGATTGATAGGTATAGAGCTAGATTGGTCGGAAGTAGGTAGAGCGTGGACAGATCAATTTTCAGACCGAATGCAAAGTAACTCCATTAAAGACCAATTGATTCCATTGAAGAACCAACTAATTAAAACGTGCAAGAGAAAAAACGTGTTTCTCCTCCTCGTGTATTCATTCACACCTACGCCTATTTAATTTATCATGGATTTATGACTTATATTAATTGCAGATATGTTTTTCCTCAAAATATCATAATCACAAGCAATTATTTCTTCATTCTTATACTAATTTAGTATTTCTGATTTCAACATAATAATCATAACCCATTAGCTGGGATAAATATTTAAGACAAAAAGCTATATAGTTAATATTTTCATACATATAAAAAGCTATATAGTTAATATTTTTTTTGTAATGTAATCTAGATTTCTATAAAAATTATTTAAATGCTACATTAAAAATAAAAAATAAAAACTTTTTTTAATTACAAAATGGGATGTATTGATATACTACAAGAAAGAAATAACATATAATTAAATTAAGCTCTATATGTAGATAAAATAAGAAAATAACTTTTATTATAAAAGTTCAAAAGTTTCACAAACCATATTTATCAAAAAAAAGATGGTAGAGATAAACAAGAGTATTAAATAATTTTTTTTAAAAATAACTCAAAAATAAACTATTTTCCGCAAAATCCAAATCTAAATAATAATGGCATAAAGAGGTAAATAAATGGAAAGTATTGGGGTAAATAGTATAAAGTATAATATCCGATGATTTCTCATGATGTCCTTGTTTATATTTCTTCCACCTCTCCTCTGCACAATCTTCTTCTCAGCTCTCTCTCTCTCTCTCGAGATCCGTTCTCTTAAATCTGTCCCTCTCTTCAATCTCATTCTCTTGAGCTCTTTTGTTTCAGTCTCAGATTGAAATCATCGTAGAGAATTAAGATTTGTTTTACGTTTTTTTTTCTTCTTCATCAGATCTAGTTTTCACCATCACGGATAAATTCAGGTATGTTCATCATCGGAAGAATTATCGTAGATCTATCTCTGTCTGTTGATTCGAATTGGATGTATTTAGATTCAATCCTGATCTGATCTTTTGGCGTATTGCGATCGCAAGGTTTGGTTGGTGAGAATTCGTTTTTTTAAGCTCGATCGAACTGTAGCGTGTAGATCGAGACGAATGTAGAGCTTTGTGATTCGTTTTTGGATGAATGATGCTATGTTTTAATGGATGCATCATGCATGTGAGGATTTTTTTTTTTTTTTTGTGATTCAACTACCGATCTGTGAGAGAATTTTTCTGAATTATGGTTGTCTTTATTGATTCGTTCGATGTAAATTGAAGTATGGATTATATAAGAACCAATGCAATCATGTTGAAAAGGAAAAAAACTTTGTTTGATAACGTTACTCTCATTTCAGAGTGTTTTTTTAGTGTTGTCTTTGATTGTGGTAAGTGGTAACCTTTTATGTTGATGGGTTTTTTGTTTTTGCGTTGTTCATCGTGCAGGTCTTAGCCAATCACCAACATGGCGACTGGGGCAGCAACAGAGAATCAGTGGCTCAAAGGGAGAGTGAAGGCTGTTACCTCCGGAGACTGCTTGGTGATCACGGCTTTGACCCACAACAGAGCTGGCCCACCACCTGAAAAGACCATCACTCTTTCTTCTCTTATGGCTCCTAAGATGGTCAGCTTAATTTAAAAAATCATTCCTTTTCCCAACCTTTTTTTACTAACAAAAGTTTTCAATATTTACATAGGTACGTTATGTTTCTCATTTTTTCAGGCTCGCAGGGGAGGTATAGATGAGCCTTTTGCATGGGAAAGCAGGGAGTTTCTGAGGAAGCTTTGCATTGGAAAGGTGCTATGTTGAATCTCATTATCACTTATGCCATAGGTTATGGAATTGAGAATGTTTACTTCATTGATATTAACAGTTTAAACCTTTTTTTTTCTTGAGCAGGAGGTGGCTTTCAAAGTGGATTACAAAGTGGAAGCTATTGCCGGAAGAGAATTTGGCTCGGTTTACCTTGGTCACGAAAATCTTGCTAAGCTTGTTGTTCAAAATGGATGGGCAAAGGTGATTACTGTTTTATTTCACTAGATAGCCTTGTCTAAGGTATGATGCTCGCATCAGCTTTCTCATATGGTGGAGGATTGCTTGTACTATGCACAGGTCAGAGGGCCAGGTCAGCAGAATCAGGATAAAGTTAGTCCTTACATTGCGGAGCTGGTACAGCTTGAACAGCATGCTCAGCAGGAAGGATTTGGTCGTTGGAGCAAGGTTGGTGTCTCTTATTCTGTTTCTATAAATTTGATTTGTCATTTGGAATTAACTTCAAGTTTCTAAACATTTGGAATTATTCTGTCTATTGTCTACTCAAAATATGGGGAACCAACTTGAAGATATTTGGGTTTTTATCTCTGTGAGATTCTCCTGAGAGTTTTATGATTAGATATCTCCCACTGAAATTGACTTCAGAGAGTTTTTGTATTCTATCTTGATTTGGTGATGGAATTAACTTGATACAGGTTCCTGGTGCTGCTGAGGCATCTATCAGAAATCTTCCTCCTTCTGCTGTTGGAGATTCTGGCAATTTTGATGCCATGGGTCTTTTAGCCGCAAGTAAAGGCAAACCCATGGAAGGTATTGTTGAGCAAGTCCGTGATGGCAGTACCCTTCGGGTTTATCTTCTTCCGGAATTTCAGTTTGTGCAAGTATTTGTTGCTGGACTCCAGGTATATGGAATCTTGTGTCCTTATTTTTGCTGCGTGAGGAGTTGACATTTTAATCTCATGGTGTAAGATTGCTGGAAATTTTCTATGTAGGCTCCATCGATGGGAAGGAGACAATCTACACAAGAAGCTGTTGTTGAGCCGGATGTTACTGCAACTTCGAATGGAGATGCTTCTGCTGATACGCGTGGTCCTCTAACATCAGCTCAGAGACTCGCTGCCTCAGCAGCATCGTCTGTTGAGGTTTCCTCTGATCCGTTTGCAATGGAAGCCAAGTACTTTACTGAGCTTCGTGTGCTTAATAGAGATGTAAGGAGGTTTTACAACAAATTAACTCACATGTATCTGTATTTGACATTTACTTGATATAAGTTGAGCTGGATTGTGCAGGTTCGTATTGTTCTTGAAGGCGTTGACAAATTCAACAATCTGATTGGGTCAGTATACTATTCCGATGGGGATACAGTTAAAGACTTGGGTTTGGAGCTGGTTGAAAATGTACGTGCCTAAAGTAGATGGTTATTTTTCGACATGATTACATTATTGAACTTATTGGCCAAAAAAGTTTGGCTTTGCCACAACGATACTGGTATAACTTAAGATTAAAGATTAAGTTGACTTCATAGTTTGTGGTTTTCTTGGTACATCAGTTCTGATATACGAAATCACTGGCATATATGATCTTTTGATGGTGTTGAATAAAAGTTATGACACTGGCTGCTATTCCTTTTGCTCAGGGTCTTGCTAAGTACGTTGAGTGGAGTGCCAACATGTTGGATGAAGAAGCCAAAAAGAAATTGAAAGCTACAGAACTCCAATGCAAGAAAAACCGGGTGAAAATGTGGGCAAACTATGTCCCTCCAGCTAGCAACTCTAAGGCAATTCATGACCAGAACTTTACTGGAAAGGTAATATTTGCTTGCACACATTTCTTGGTAAATATATTTCCGTCCGCCCATTTCACTAGTTCTTAGTTCTTACTAGTTTGTACTCTCTTCAGGTAGTGGAAGTTGTGAGCGGGGACTGCTTAGTAGTTGCTGATGATTCTATCCCATTCGGAAGCCCAATGGCAGAGCGCAGAGTTTGCCTTTCCAGTATCAGGGCTCCTAAAATGGGTAACCCACGCAGAGAGGAGAAACCTGCCCCTTATGCGTGGGAAGCCAAGGATTTTCTGAGACTAAAGCTTATCGGAAAGGAGGTATCTATTGCGTTGTGCCTTCTTACTTAAATCATCTCGGTGTGCTACACAGGTCAAGATCTCTGACTTCCTTTTCCTCGGTTCAGGTTATTGTTCAAATGGAATACTCAAGGAAGATTAGCCCAGGAGATGGTGTTACTACTTCTGGAGCTGGTGATAGGGTCATGGATTTTGGCTCAGTGTTCCTTCCATCCACTGCCAAGGGTGATGCAGATGTAGCAGCTGCAGCAACTCCTGGAGCGAACATTGCTGAACTCATTATTGCCCGTGGCTATGGGACTGTGGTTAGACATCGTGACTTTGAAGAGAGATCGAACCATTATGAAGCTCTCCTGGCTGCTGAAGCTCGTGCTATTGCTGGGAAGAAGGGAATCCATTCTGCAAAGGATTCTCCAGCCATGCACATTACAGACCTGACTGTGGCCTCGGCCAAGAAGGCTAAAGATTTCCTGCCATCCCTGAGCAGAGGCAAGAGAATATCTGCCGTTGTGGAATATGTCCTGAGTGGACATCGGTTCAAGCTATACATTCCAAAGGAAACGTGCAGCATTGCCTTTGCATTCTCTGGTGTCAGATGTCCTGGCCGGGGCGAACCCTATTCAGAAGAAGCTATTGCTTTAATGAGACGTAAGATCATGCAGAGAGATGTCGAGGTAAATTGGACATATTACGCCACACCTCAATTTTGCTTTCTTCTCTCTTCTTTTCTATGAGTCTTACATAGTTTCTTATAATCACATAGATTGTAGTTGAAACTGTGGATAGAACCGGTACTTTCCTGGGATCAATGTGGGAGTCGAAGACCAACGCAGGAACATATCTTCTTGAAGCTGGCCTGGCAAAAATGCAGACTGGCTTTGGTGCAGACAGGATTCCCGAAGCTCATATTCTTGAATTGGCAGAGCGTTCTGCTAAAAATCAGAAACTGAAGGTAACATCAATACATGATATCTTTTACTAAAGAAATGCATCTGGTTCGAAAACTTTACTTGCTAAACCGCATGATGTCACAGATTTGGGAAAACTATGTTGAAGGAGAGGAAGTCGTAAACGGTAGTTCTAAAGTAGAAACCAGGCAGAAGGAAACATTAAAGGTGAATTTAGCCGTATGATTCTTTCTACAAGTCAATTTTCAATACTCAAACCAAAACCTTAATTCACTCTTAATTGCTACAGGTTGTTGTTACGGAAGTACTTGGAGGCGGTCGATTCTATGTTCAGACGGTTGGTGATCAAAAAGTAGCTTCGATTCAAAACCAGCTTGCATCTCTGAGTCTTAAAGATGCTCCCATTATTGGATCATTTAATCCTAAGAGGGGTGACATCGTCCTTGCACAGTTTAGCCTCGATAACTCCTGGAACCGTGCAATGGTAAATTATAAAGTTTCTAAATATGCCAACCATTATTTCTTCTTTTTTACTATCACCTATGGTTGTTTATTGTATTTCGTATTTTTGTTTAGATTGTTGATGGACCTCGAGGAGCAGTTCAATCTCCAGAGGAGAAATTTGAAGTGTTCTACATCGATTATGGAAACCAAGAAACGGTTCCATACAGCGCAATTCGCCCTGTGGACCCTTCAGTATCCTCAGCACCAGGGCTCGCACAGCTCTGCAGACTTGCCTACATAAAAGTTCCAGGCCTGGAAGAGGACTTTGGTCCTGACGCCGGAGAGTATTTGCATACCGTAACACTCGGAAGTGGTAAAGAGTTCAAGGCAGTGGTAGAGGAAAGAGATACTTCAGGAGGCAAAGTGAAGGGCCAAGGAACTGGAACCGAGCTTGCTGTAACTCTCATCGCTGTCGATGATGAGATCTCTGTCAATGAAGCAATGCTTCAGGTCAGTGCCTCGCCTTCTCTTCAACTCCTCCAAAACTTTTGAGTTAAGAGTATTGTCTTAAACCTGAGAGTGAAATGTGTATTTATGATCACAGGAGGGAATAGCGAGGATGGAGAAACGCAGGAAATGGGAACCGAAAGACAAACAAGCTGCTCTTGATGCACTTGAGAAGTTCCAAGACGAAGCTCGCAAATCTAGGACCGGAATCTGGCAGTACGGAGACATCCAATCTGATGATGAGGATGTTCCAGTCAGGAAACCGGGTCGCGGGTAAGTATTTCACAGCGGTGAAAACTTATGGTCCAAAAAGGCATCATGAGGAGGAAAAGAGAATACATCGTTTCTCTTTAAATGAGTTAAAGAAGCGAGATGATGTTTGCTAGCAAGCATCAAACTTTTTGTAACGTTTAGAACTCTCTTTTTTTTTTTCCATATCTTTTTTCTTTTTTAATTTATCTTTTTTTGATTATAGACTTCAAAAGAAATTTTCTATTTAGGAGTACGAAACGAGACGATCTTCTTGTTCTTTATTTTTGTTTGACAAAGAAACATAATAAGGTGAAGTAACTTCAGGTTACCAAAGTCAACATAAGAGGACTTTCTATTTCGTTAGTGTCTAACTTATGTTTGAGCTTTCTTTATTCGTTTTCATTCTTCTGTTTGAAGGGATTACACAATTTATTTTTAAAAAAATGTTCATTTTTTCCAGATTATTTCTTCTCTTTTTCCTTCAAGTGGTAACTTTTGCTGTTGTCAATCTGTTGCTTACACGATCTGTTACCAAACTTTCGTTATAAACTCGTTTGTTTTTAAAAAGAAACTCAAATGTTTGGAGTAACAAGTTACTATTAAAGGGGATGAAAGAAGAAACAGAAACTACAATTTGGCTGTCAAGAAATCGTCTTCTCACTTACATATTCCTTCCTCCTTTCTTTTCTTCGCCCAAAGACAAAAAATTCCCAAACTTGGTGTTACACCATTATAGGCTACAGCAGAAAACAACATTCAACCCAAAACCAAAAACAGAGAAATAAAGCTGACTCAACTTTCCTTTCACATCTTCGAAAACTACTTAAAAACTTGTTCTAATTATCACGTCTCGGTTGCCTTTTGCGTGGTGCCGCGGTTTCTTCCTTCTTATCCGCCTCATCCCCACTCTTTGAACTCTCTGCTACTTCTGGTTTCTTCTTTTCCACAGGTGCCGCCTATAATACCATATTTATTAGATTCTTCTCACCATCCAAAAATGACCATTGTGCATAAAACTCTTTAAGGAATTTTTTTTACCTTTTTGCCACCAAAGATAAGCTTGAGGAAGAGCGAGAAGAATACAACCACAATGGAGACGAGGACACCAATGGTTAAGTTTGGTTGTTGCTCAGCTTTCTCAATCAGTTCCTACAAACACAGACATTTCACATCATCACTCAAGGTCGAGTCATCAACAAATCATAGCATTCAATGTTATGGTAAATGAAGGAGAACTTACCGTGATCTTAGACTTGTAGGCACTTAGGAAAGATAAATCTGCAACCTTGTTCAAGAGGTCGAATACAACCTTCTGCAATATCATGCACATAAATACAGCTGTAAGTATTTATACATAAAGCTTATTAATATAAGTTTAATCCTGTGGGAAATCAATTTACCTGGTAGCTCTTGAGACCATCTGCAGAGCCAGCAGCTTCTTCTTCAGCCTTTTGTTTCTCTTTCTCAACATCGAATTTGGGTTTCCAAGTGGTCTGTCTGTAAGTCTCAGCGACCTTCTCGTCTTTTGCTATCAAGATGTTGTCAAACAAGATACCATCTTGCATTGTCCAAATCTCAATACCGATGGCTGCAATCGGTTCGTAATCGGGTCTGTCTAGCTCAAAGTAGTCAGGGTTAGGAATATCTCTGGGTTTCCAGATTCCCTTGTAAGCAGGGTTATCAATAAGAGGTGAACTCCATTTTCCCTTGTAAGCAGGATTCCTCTTCATTGGTCTCTTCCATTCGCCACAACCTGGTGCTGCTTCACACTTGGGGTTGTCAATCTTAGGAGCCTCCCACATACCATCTTCCTCATCATCCCAATCTTCAGGCTTGGTCGCTTCGGGGTCATCGACCTCCTCAGGCTCATCATCTAACCATCCTTCGGGTTTCTCAGCTTCCTCATCTTCGATCTCCATGGGTGCATCCTCATCCCAGTCCTCAGGCTTCACGGCATTTGGATCGGGAATCTTGGCTCTTTCGTCCCAGTCCTCTGGTTTCTTGTCTTCAGGGTCAGGGATGGTCTTGGCAGGGATCAATGCAGGCTCAAAGTCTTCACCAGAGAGTAAATTGGCCTTTTTCTTCTCCTCTCCATCAACCAAAATTCTAACCTCATTGTCGGGTTTCAAGATGGCAGTGTAGACATGGGAAAGCTTGTCATAAGGAACAGAGGGAGGGAACTTCAGATGGTGTTCAACGTACTCGCCACTCTTAGGATTCTTGTGCTTCAAGATGAAATGGACTTTGTTTGTAGCTCCACACTTGTCAGGCCCAAACATGATAGAGTAAGGGGATTCACTATCGAATCCCTGCGGTGTCCATCCAGCTTCTTGAGGACGTAGGTACTTCAAGTAAGCACCACCACACTCAAGTCCTTCCTGGAAACGAACCTCGTACTGAAGAACAACAGTTCCCTCCTTGAGGTTTAGAGGCTCGTCAAGCTCTTTCACAATTCCATACTTCCTAGCCTTCTCACTCACGAGAAGTCCATAATCTTCATGTCCTTCACTCTTTGCATGCTTCCATACACCTGAAACAGATAAAAATGGTGTTACCAAAGAAGCTTCAATGCAAAATTGGAAAATCATCAACAGCTTCAAGTCAAAACAAATGCCATTGCAAATCTGTTTATAAAATGCCGAGATTGCATCTACATAGTCAGATTCGATTCGATTCCTCTATAATGTTGAGTGCAACACATAAAGCTTCACTTCAATAATTGAAAGCAAGTAGTATTTGAATTCCAATTACAGACACAGATCAGAACAATAAACTAACTACAATGCAGTGGGAATTCAAAGACAATAAATCATTTACCTCCGTAATCACTATTCTTCGAAACGATCCAGCGACCATCAAAAGGCTCATCGAACGATTCATAAAGAACCTGAAACAGAATCGAGAATCCAAAACCAAAAAAAAACTCAGTTAAACAATGATAGATCTAAATCTTCGGATCTACGAAGAAGATTCAAAACACAAAGGAAGAATCGAAAATTACCGTTTGATCGTCACAGTAGCAAAGCTTCTGGAACGAAACGAAAGCTAAAAGAAGCAAAAAGCCGGAAAATAGTTGCCGTTGTCTCATTCTCGGAATCCTCAATAGGCCAAAGGAAACCTCAGGATTAGATCTAAATCGGTGAATAACCGGAGAACTAGATCGGAAACTAATCCTTCGTGAAGGAGAAAGAGTGAAATGTATTTTTCAGTTTCTGTGAATTAAATTATATTATATATTCAATCCCGTAGACCCGGTCGAGTGTGTCATTTTGTTGTTTCCACCAATCAAATCTCTCGCCACGCGACGTTAACCAATCATAACATGCCACGTCATTCAAAAGCGAGCTCTTCTACGTGCACTGTTATTTTGCTATATACGTGCACATTTAACTAACAGCTAGTTGAGCATACGTATTGGGCCTGGGCCCATTAAAAGTTTAACAAGTAATCATTGATAACAATTAGAGATGGACTAAGACAAAACTTTACTAAATCCAGCATTCTTCTTCACTTTCTTGTCTCTTTCTATCATTTCTCTAACCTTAACTACATCCTCCCATCTCTCTGCATTTGCATACATTTCCACCATAACTTTATACACTCCTCCATCCTCGGGACTCAACGCCTTGACTCGCTTTGCAGCTTTCTCTGCGATCTCTATGTTCCCGTGGATTCTACATCCGCCCAACAAACCGCTCCAGGCTAATAGTTTCTCTCTTTTTCCTCCATCTTTAGGCATTTGCTCGATCATTTCCGCTGCTTCTTCGATCAACCCTCCTCTTCCAAGCAAATCCGCCATACACCCGTAATGTTTCATCTCTCTATCAACATCATACAAAGATCTCATCCGGTCGAAAAGCTTTCTGGCTTCATCAACTAGTCCAGAATGGCTGCAACCCACTAAAACACTTATGAAGCTTACTCCATCCGGTTTGATTCCAGAACTAACCATCTTACGGAAATATTCAACTGTTAGCTCGCCGTTACCGTGCATCGCAAGACCAGTGATCATTGCATTCCATGTGAATAAAGTTTTATCTGAACATAAGTCAAAGATCTCCATCGCTGTATCGATAAAACCGCATTTTGCATAGAAATCAACTAATCCAGTAGCTAAGAACGAATCAATGAAAAGTCTTTCCCTTGTCGTGTAATCATGAATAGCTTTCCCTTTTTCCAAATCCCCTGATTGTGCACAAGCTGAAAGAGTTGAAACAATGGCGACGTTATCCGGTTTTAAGCCCAAACCAATCATTTCGTCGAAGAGACTGATTGCTTCTCTGCACTGATTCATCTGTGCATAACCAGCAATGAGACTATTCCACGAAACCAAATCACGAAAGGGCATTGAATCAAACAACTCTCTTGCACGAACAATCTCACGTGCCTTCACTAACCCGTCAATCAACACATTGTAGGTAACAACATCTCTTTGAGGATTTTCGTCGAACAGCTGCAAGGCACTATCGATTGGGGCAATCAATGTGTAAACCCGAATCAGAGTGTTCAAAGTGAACAAATCAGATAACAATCCGAATCTCAAAGCTTGACAATGCAGCGTCTTGACTAATGAAAGATCACCATTCTTCTTTGCTACACAAGCCTTGAATACGAAAGGGAAAGTGTGGAAATCGGGAGGAACAGAGCGACGTCGCATCTCCACGAAGAAACGGTGAGAAGACAGAGACAACGGCTCATGAAGCGTATAAATCCTAATGATCGTATTGAAGCAAAACGTTGATGGGTTTGTGATAAATCTGAAAACCGAATTCGCGTAGCTCACGACCACATTCGACGCCGACGTAGAGACCGATAAAGTCTTTGTCTTTGTTGGAGCCGGTGAAATAGAGGTGATGGCGAAGAGGACATTGGCGAAAACAGAGTTCTGTTTGAAATCACTGGAGATTCTGCCGGAAGTGATGAATTGGGCGTGAAACTGATGCAGATGTTTAAGGGTTTTACACAGCTTCAAGAGATTCTCCACTTTTAGGTTGAGATATGAACAACTACTATAATTTATCATTCAGTTGATCAAAGAGCTTCACCAGATTCACAAAGCTTTCTCTTTTAAAGGAAATTTCAGAAATTTAGTAGCGAACGATTTTTGCATTCAAACTATTTTCTCGGGAAATTTTCTGCTTAAGAAGTAACTCTTTATGGACTCACCAAATTACTGAAGAAGAATCAATAAGATCACCGTGTTAAATTTCGACATCTCATGTTACATTTTCTACATTCAAATGACCAGAAAGCTCAAGCTTTATTTTCGTCATCATCAAGGAGTTTTTACTGTATCTCTGTGAACACAACATCAGGTTTCTTGCTTTTTTTTTTAATCAAGGGCCAGATTTTTCTTCATAGCTTCGTAGACAAGGTACGAAATGCTTGCGGAAGGAATGACTTTGAAGAAGTTGGGGAAGATTCCTCTGTAAAAACCTTTTAGACCTTCCCCTCTTAGCGTTTTCAGAAACTCTTGGATCATGCTAGTTTTTGAGATATCAGCTTGCATTCTGATGATAAATGACTAAACTCAGTTTCAAACCAAAAAGAAGAAAATAGATAAACCAAAAGCTTAGATTTTTCTGAGTCTTTACCTTGTTCTTATGACCTGTAATGGGTAAACACATGATGCTCCAAGAGCTCCAGACGTCATTCCACATCCCAGTTGTATGAGAGGACCGGGCTCTGCACAGCATATACGGTTTAGTATCATGTGGATATTAAGAATTTACAGAAACTTTAAAAGGCATGATTAGTAACTAACCGGCAGTGTCATGAAGAAAATGTGACCTTGATAAGTCTTTAAGAGTTTCGTAAGCAGCAAGGTCAATTCCTGCGTAAGGGATAATCCCTATAAGAGAAGGACAAAGACCCCTGTAAAAAGCTCGGGGTCCTTCTTGAATCCAAATATCCTTTGTGAGTTTCCACAGCTTTGGTGTCCCAACTTCACTCACAAAAGTCTGTAACCTAGTCTTCACAAGATCCATAGGATAAATAGCTGTTTGAGCCACTGCACCAGCCAATCCACCAGCCAAAAGCCTCCCGCTTGTACCAATGTCACCATCCACTCCCCCGATAATGGGTTTCAGCATTTCATAAGCTGCAAACTTTATTGCGCTTTCAGGAGCGACTTTCGTTACATTTAACCCATTACCTCTGAAGAAACCTAACAACTTATCTTCTCTCCATATTTTCTTAATGGTCGGGACAACACCCAAATTTGTTCGTTGAACTTGCAAAGCAACTTTCAGACGGTCCAGAGGCGCAGTTGCGGTTCTAGAAACAGCTCCTGCTATTCCTCCTGCGAGGAGTAATTTGCTTCTTTGAGCGTGTGTACTTATACCGTCTGGTATAACAGCTTGTTCCCCAATGTCTATTAAGCATACTCTTTCCCAGTGATGATAAATGTTTTCAATAGTGGCTTCATGAGGGTTAAGCAAAAGAAAATCCCTCCACTCTTCAAAAGTTATAATTCCGTTGTTGTCCTTATCAACATGCTCCATAAAAGATGCTAGTTCCTCATCTTTAATTTTAATGCCTACAAGAACATAACTGTGAAGTCAATTTAGCTCGAAAACACTGTTACACAATAATAACCTACAAACTTTTGAGAAACGAAAGCATGTAAAGATAAAAGAGCTAACTTTGCCATTAGACAAGCTGAGACAATTTTGTGAAACCCAATAAAGCAATTCCCATCCCACGGTTTTGCAAACAGAACAATGGCAAAGGTTAAGCAGACATTGTTGTTATGATGAATCTCCTCATCTAGAAGTTTATATTTTCCAGGGATCAACGGAGGACAACACACATTTCAATTTGCCTGGACCACAAATCTATCTAATAGACAGATAAAACTGTCTTACTCATATAAAATCAAACAAGACAATCACCCAAAAGGTCTTCCTTCATTGACTCAAACAATTGCCTCCAGGAAAATCGTGATATCGAACAAATAGCTCGCATAGTTGTAATTTGAAGCAATTACAAGAAATACATCAAAACAACCAACACTACTGCAAAAATATCAAGAACAGTTCAAAAGAGTGGCATTTTCAAATTCAAGTCACCAACCAATCTATCAGTAACTAACAATTTAAGCAAAATCCAAATCATAAAACCATAAAAGTTTCCTCTTTTGCTAATGGTAGATACTTGCAAAGTAACAGTAGCAAGTAATACAACAGTAAGCAATAAAAAATCACATACCAGCTTTATCAAGAGCCTCCCAAAGCTCCGCTGGACAAATGTCGCCATTGTGTTTAACATCAATGGCCTGAAAAATCTTGTACAACTCAAGCTCCTTAGCGTCCATGTAACGACGAAACTCATGGTAATCCACGCGCCCATCTCGATTCGCGTCGCAGACTTTAAGAAAATCACTAGCGTACCTATAATTTTGAGGAATACTAAGCGAAGACAAACCTTTCTCGATCTGGGTATCATCTAAGAACCCTAACTTCGAATTGTCGAAAAATTCAAACAGTTTTCGAATTCTGGTCTCCCTCTCCTCTTTGGTCTCTCGTAATGCCACCAACACATGCTCCATTGTTGCCTCTACGGGCTTCTTACCCGGATTTTGCTTGGATTTATCTGCCTCCATCGCTGATTAACGATCAATCGAGAAACCCAGATGAGCAAAATTGGAAAGCTTTCAAGTTTCAACACAGTCTTGGACGATTCTATGGTCCCTTCATTGTTGGAAGAAGAAAGAATCTCGGAGTTATTCAAAATCAGAATTCAAAAATGATATTCATTGGACAAAACTTTTGTCTCTGAGATTGAAGTCGGTGAGAACAAAATATCAGCCACAATCTTCCATGGACAGCTGGAGTCTCCATTATTTTTACATGGACCACTTCAAAGTTCAAACTGTTTCCGACATATATGACACACATAAAACACCAGTATAACAAAACCGGTTTAGTAAGAGTGAATCACAGGAAAGAGTCAATTTGAACCGGTTTAGCTGCTTCGAACCAGAACAATGTGTCGGTTGAACCAAGAGCGACAGTCATTTTTTTTTTAACTAACTAATAACTGAGTTTTACTTTTGATCGTATAGATGATTTTAGAGTTTAGACAGTGAAACACCCACAAATTTGGATTTAGAGTAATTCATATGTTATAGGGAATAAATATCTGTAATCGTGCAAGTATGAAAGATTTTGGAACCAAGACAACGAATATAGTCTTAATTTATAACTTTGTTTTGTAGACCACTGCATATCGTGTGATTGTGATGTATTTGAGAAAGAAAAGTTCTTCTTACACGTAACTGTTTTGTAGACCACTGCATATGGTGTGATTGTGATTGTGATGATTTTAGACAGTGAAAAACCCACAAATTTGGTATTTGGATGTAGAGTATTCATATCTTTTATTCTATGTATACAAACAAAATTCACTTTGGAGAAATATATATAGTCGACATGGTTTTGCTCTTTTTTTTAAGTACTAAGTGATTGGTAACCATCTTCCAGGTTCCGCCTCCGGTATATCACGACGGCAATTAGAACCACAACCGCCACCACCACTGTCACTGCAGAAATGGCTAAAAAGATCAAGCTTCTCGCAGGTGCCTACAAGTGAGAAATACTAACGTCAGTTAAAAAAAACACATGGCAATATCTCCTAAACCGTATATGTATCGAAACCGGTGTGACCTTAACCGAGTTGTAGTACCGGGTCGTTACCTCAAAAAGTTTAGGCAAAAAGTTCTCTGGTTCAGGCAGCTGCTGAGCAACGAGGATGTAAAAGAGTCCCATAACTCCGGTATGACCAACGGCATTACTGTAATTAAACTCCAAAGTCAGTGTCTCTCCATAGCTCACTTTCACTGGATCAGCAGGATAACAAGACGACATTCCAACAATGTAACCAGCTTCGTTTCCAGGTTCATCTCCATTGCCATACTTCGGTATCGAAGTACATATTCCTTCACCGTTCTGATCCAGAGCACAAGAGTCTCAATTCAGTTAAAAAGTTTCAATCTTTTCGTTTTAAAGTAGCCTAAACTAAATCAGTCTTAGTTACCTCTCGGTATAGAGCACCACCGATACCACCCGCGTGCTGGTGAGCTACGCCGTAGACAATATACCCATTAAATGGCATCATTAAGCTCTTTTTCCTAACATCAATGCATCCATCGCCATTGTTTTTGCACGGCTTCACCTCGTATTCCACCTGAAAAACACAAATACCCGGATAATATTAGAGAATGAAGTCGAATTAACGGCATTAAGCAGATAGGAAAGTTGTTACTGACATGGCAAATATGTTCTTGGCTATTTTCTATTGATCCCTCTGATCTTTCCCAAGAATCTGTAACATCGAAAATATAAACCTTAGCGGGCAAAACCGAGCTGTCCCAATCAACCCATCTCACTGTATACTTCAAATACAGAGTTCTTGTTTTCTCCCCGTTGTCAAATCCGCTTTTCACCCGACATTGAGTCTTATCGTAGCAGCAGTATAAACCTCCTTTGTATCCGGGTCTTATAGCTCGGCCGTACTCATCAATGGTAACATTATACAGATGACACAGGCATTCTATGCATCCTTTCTTATCTTCCACACCTCTCGTGTCTATCGCGTGAATGTTAAGAAGCCATTTGAATTCATATCCATCAGGTATTTCCTCAGGATTACCGATTTCAATCGCATAGGGATCAGGAACATACGTCGAGGTTTTGCGGGTTTCTGATCCTAAACCAAAGTAATGTCTGAGTACTACACTTCTGCACAACCCTCCATTTTTCACAAGAATAATATCCGATTTCGAATCAAGATTGTTTTCCGGATCTTGCCTCGAAAATCCGTGATTCCTAAACATTTCTCGCTGTGGAAGCTTAGAACCTTTACGCACATAGTAAGGTTCGATAATCCAATGGTGAAGATATGTCTCGTGTAGAGGGACGGGATTTCCCGCATCGTCAACCACTTCAGCATCGAAAGCTTTGAGGCCGATATGCCCTCTTGGGAAATCGATGTCGAATAAGTAAGGATTTGCGACTGATCCAGGATTCATCACCAGTTTTGGTGAGAAAAAGACTGCAGATTTGATCTTTTTCTCAGTCCCTAGAAAGCCTTGGCTGGGCGATAAGCTTAATGAGACCAGAACTAAGAACAGGATCAGCGATCTCCTGAGGTAACGAGCCATCATCTCCTGTTTGAAGATCATAGATAAAAGGAAAGTGATTGATTCAGCTAATGAAATTCATAAACATGGATTAAATATCACAAACTCTAAAGCTAGCTCAAACTATGAATGAACACTAGAGGATAACCACTTGAAACCTAATTGGCTAATTTTAACCAGAAGATTTTAGTACATGTGCTTATTCAAAATTTCAAATTTCTTCAGCAACCAACCATGACTGATAAAAGCCAGATAAATCAGAAGGTCATTTCATATATAATTCTGAAATACAATCAAATTTGGAACAAAGAACAATCTAAAATCAAAACCTGGTTTGCAGATCATCCATAAACAGAGTATATTGACATAAATTGAACGTATCCACTATGGAATCTCAGTTTCTAGTTTGGTATTCCAAAACCCAGAATTTGAATATGAAATCAAACACAATAAAAGATTCCAAAACCCAGAATTCGATTGCGAAATCAAACACAGAGAAACAGAGACGATATACAGAGAGAGAGAGGTTTACGTGAGTAGGAATCGGATAAACGGAAATTTCCAGAAGCCGATGAGTTTCCCGCTATCGTAATGAAGTGCCCAATGAGGAACAACAATTTGAGAGACTTGTCTATTTAAGTATTTATCAATAGCCCATGAGCGCAGAGACGTAAGGACGCGAGCATCGTTATTACATGACACGTGTAACCAGTGACGTCACCGCTCTCGTCACCCGATGGTATTTTCCTCTTCTAAATTTCTCTTACACAATACAATTTTATTATCATAGTACTAAACATTTTATGTGAGATGGATGGATAATAGACGACCACTAAATTAAAATATAAATGAAGATTGAGGAAAACAAAATCATTGGTTTGGAATTTTGAACAAATCTCATGAAAAGTTTTTCATTAATTACTTGTTGAATAAAGTTCAATAACCGGTATATAGTTAGAGTATGAACCCACTCAACAGAGATTTGACCTGCAAGTTTTCATCATTACTGGTGGACTAAATTGTTAAGAGTGAGAGATTTTGGGCTATTATGTGGTTTCTATTAAAATTGAAGGTCTCATTTATTAATGTTTAGAGCTGATGATGTATAACGAATTTGATTCCCTACGGTACCCCCCAAACACGCGACGAGAGCGAAGAAGACGATGACGAACAAGGAGAAAGCGCGGGAGAGAAGGGAGAAAAGAATGCAGGAGATCTCTCTCCTTCGAACTATTCCTTACTCTGACCACCATAGGTATGACTCGAAGAAGAACCTAATTTGTCCCAATTGTTTCTGCTTCTTTGTATCCTAAGATCATCATCATTTACTCTGCGAGATTCTCAATTTCAGAGCATTCCATGTGTTAATCTCTAATCTCACTTGCGTACATCTATTTCTTGGTTCAATTACAGTGTTTTATGAATTTGATGAGTTTTTAGGTTTCGATTTGGGAGTTGGATTGAATTGGCATTGTTGGTACTTATAGATTTGTGTTTAACTATACCAAGAGAACTTAGAGAAACTGGAAATGAAGTCTGTGTCTTTCAAGCCATCTTCTTGAATTTTGACTTCTGATTAAGCATCAAATGATTTTTTAGGTGGTGGTCTTCTGAAAATGTAGCAGTGGTGACCGGTTCAAACCGCGGGATTGGACTCGAGATTGCAAGACAGCTTGCGGGTCACGGATTGACCGTTGTTCTTACAGCCAGAAACGTGGATACTGGTCTTGAAGCAGTTAAATCCTTGAGGCGCCAAGAAGAAGGTCTCAAGGTTGATTTTCATCAGCTTGATGTCACGGACTTTTCTTCGATTAGAGAGTTTGGTTGCTGGATTAAGCAAACATTTGGAGGTTTAGATATTCTCGTAAGATCCTTATCGATTCGTAATCTTGGGGGATAGTTCTTCTGTTTTCTTAGATTTTATTATATGCATTTGTGTTACTGTTTTTTCAGGTGAATAATGCAGGTGTCAACTACAATCTCGGCTCAGATAATTCGGTTGAATTTGCTGAAACAGTTATCTCTACTAACTACCAAGGAATAAAAAACGTGACAAAAGCTATGATACCATTGATGAGACCATCTCCTCATGGCGCTCGTATCGTCAACGTTAGTTCTCGGCTAGGTAGAGTAAATGGAAGACGTAATGTAAGAATCTCTTTCACTCTTTTATCTTTGAATTTTTGTTGAAAAGAAAATCTCGTGAAATTCATGACATGAATTGCAGAGACTGGCAAATGTAGAGTTGAGAGATCAGCTAAGCAATCCGGATTTGCTGACTGAGGAACTTATAGACAGAACTGTTTCTAAATTCATCAACCAAGTAAAAGACGGAAGTTGGGAATCAGGCGGGTGGCCTCAGACATTCACCGACTACTCCATGTCTAAGCTTGCCGTCAATGCTTACACGAGACTAATGGCAAAAGAACTTTCGAGAAGAGGAGAGGAAGAGAAGATTTATGTTAACAGCTTTTGTCCTGGTTGGGTGAAAACTGCTATGACTGGCTACGCCGGAAATATGCCACCTGAAGATGCAGCTGATACTGGAGTTTGGCTTAGCCTAGTTCTTTCCGAAGAGGCAGTAACCGGAAAATTCTTTGCAGAGAGACGTGAGATCAACTTCTGAGGGTTGTTGAAAGTTCCTAAACGTTGGAATAGATTGTGTTGTCGTCGTTTAATGCCATTGTTTTCAGTCAAAGGTTTACAAAAATCAATCCTACTTGGTAAGTTGATGGTTATGAGTTATATGATACAAGTGTCAGATTTGTCACAACTGAGAAATGTATAGTTTAAATATAATTAGTCTCTGGTTATAATTAACAGCCGACCTTAGCTCAGTTGGTAGAGCGGAAGACTGTAGTGTTAGCAGACAATCTTTAGGTCGCTGGTTCGATTCCGGCAGGTCGGATTTTTTTTCCAGCTTTACTATTTCCCAAAACGATAGTAATTGACCGTTTCACCCTTTTCTATATTAGTTTCCACTTTCACTTGAATAAACGGAAGGAGAACAAAGAATTTTTCTTTTACTCCTCTCTCTCTCTCGTGAGATGTCAAAAGGATTCTTAGTTTCATTACAATGATCAAGCTTTTTTCCTTCTACATAGCAAAAAAAAGGTTATGATTCTACAAAATACAGTAACAAGAAGACAGAAACCAACCAACCAATAGGATCATTCAATCAAATTCCAACACTGGTCCTTTACCAAGGTTTCAGATCAGCCACCGGTCCTGCCGTCCAGTTCAACAGCTTCTCACCTGGTCTCAGATACACACTCCTCTCATGAGGCAGCTTACGAGCCAACCCATTCAACACTTGATGAAACGCATCCCCTGGTTGAGCCGGTTGCGGAAACAGCATGGCTTGTTTCATTGACGGGTTTGCCAACAATCTCTGTTTTCTCAGTATAACCTCTGGAGGGATCGATGTGAGTATTGTGTCCAGGTAAGGGACATCTTTCTCATCCACAAACACACCAATATCTTCCCAAGGGATCGCATCTGCAAAAGGCAACACGATGTCATCTGCTATGATCACAGGGATGCAACCAAAGATCACAGCTTCCACCAGTCTTGGACTCCATGGTGCCCATCCAAGTGGGCATAAGCAGAAGATTGCTCTCTGCATATCCTCATAATATGTTGTTGGGTGCTCTGTTGAGATGTCGAACAGCGGATTGTCTTTGAAGTTTTCCCATACAGCTGCTCGTGCACCCCTGTGCCAGATTGACAAACAAAACATCATCACTGATTGTAAGAACAATTCGTGGCTCTAAAAATAGTCGATGAATCATCAATTTTTTTTGTTAAGTTTTATATCCAAATTTTCAAATCGGTTAAGCACTTATGAACTGTTTTAGGAGATTTGTGAGATTCATTAAGAACATAGTTAAGCATATTAATAAGAAAAAATCACCTTGCATAATAGCCACCCTCAGGGTCATTTCCCACATCATAAAACAATCCTCTGAAATAAACGAAGATGGATCGAGGAGTTTTTTCGGGAATTAAATGTGACTGCATCTTCTGTGGTGGAGCATATGGAGGAACAGTGATTGAACCCTCCTTCAAGCACACATGATTCCTTTGTCCAAATGTCTGCACTAATGTAGCCCGTTGAAGCAAGGGTAGTATTCCTCTTCCTATTGCCTTCTCTTCCTGTCACAGTCAAACACAAAACAAGAGATCAGGTAGGTTAGCAGTATCACAGGCACAAATCTTTGTTGTCACGGCTCCGGAAGATTTTCTGCTCCATCAAAAAAGCTTTGCAAGTTTATTGCCATTTTAGAGAGGGGATATGGAAGCATTAAAATCTACTGAACACTAGTTTTAGACTTCTGGTTCCTAGTTCAGTCCGGAAGGAACTATAAGAGAGCATGATTAAACGTGTGCACAACTCAACCCCAAGGCCCCCGCATGAATCTTTCAAACAAAAACAGAAATGTATCTGAGTTTGTAGATATGACTAGGAATTCAGACAAGGCGTTGTATGAAACAGTTATTTCTTCACAACTTGCAGAACTGGAAATAATTTAGAGTGCAAGTTCAACAGTAGCAAACAATCATTCACCAATAGTGTGGAAGCATTGATGAAGCAAGCAAAGCCTAATTAGGATAGAAAGAAAAAGAGATTCAGAGAAGATTCTATTGCTTACTTGATAATGGAAACAGGCTCCAAAGTCATGAGGCACGACAAAGAAGTGGTCTGCTCCTTCTGTGCGATTCCAGTATGGCCAGTTGGAAGCAATAAGCTGAATGGCACTTCTCATCATCCGTGGAGATTTAAAAGGTAGAGGAAGCCCATTAGGCGTAAGATCACAAGTAGTATACACAGGGACGTAGAACCAATCAGCTTCCTCGGGATTAAGTGTTCGAACTGGGCTAGATAAAAGAAACCGTTGCATATATATCTCAGCAGCAAACATATGGTTTAGACACCTCGGGTCCTTCTGAAGTATCTTCTTGTTGTATTTACTTGGAAGCTCATAAACAAAGACTTTCAGTCTTCCCACGGGATTATCCTCCAACACATCACCAGCACTACCTAAACATGAGAGATACAAAATCAAAGTAGAAGCTCAAAAACAAGATATTGAATTGGCTAATTGAGGCATGAATCTGCATCCTGATTTACATTTTCCCTAGATTCAATTAGAATCAAGATCACTACGGAGATCCCTAGAACTAAGCTGCTTAATCCAAGTAAAATTATGGAAACTGAGCATTCACTAAATCCATGGATTAACCTTCTATGCATAGATTGATAGAGAGAAATCACCTGAAATTCGCTCAGTTGGTTGACTCCGACTCAGACGGAAAGCAGAAATCGACGAGAGGAAGGTGAGATTACAAAGAAGGAAGATCAAAACCCAGCTCGATAACTTCATTTTCTTCCCCTCAAAGCCCCCTAAAATCTTCAAAATCGCCAGATCATATAAGTATATAAAGATCAACTAGAACAGCTGAAATGTCAGAAGAAGTAGTTGCTAAAAAAAGAGTTCGTCGAGATTGTGACTTCCAAAACTGGAACAGAAGAAATAAAATTCGCTACCGATTGTTAGATCACGCCCAGAATTGACAACGAGAGCACAGCGATTTTCATTTGAAGAAAGTCGGAGAACAAGATTCGTCTATGGCAATGGCATATACGATGTCGTTTTAGCGCGATCCATTTTCGCAAATGAGAGAAGTCGTTGCGGACTTGAACAGTCCACGTCAGCCACTTTTTAGCTTAAAAAAATTAACAACTATGTAATGGACTGGCCGAGAAAATATAAACTCTAAGCCCATTAAAATCATGGGCCCAAAGTGTAATTTCGTTCTTGACAGCCTAATTAATTTTTTTTTGTTACATTTGTTTATCCGGTATATTAAATTTTGAAACACTAATAAATTAGCTGTATTGAGCCACTTTTGAATAGTTTTTCTTTAATATGAAATTGATTTTGAGAAAATAGGGTAGTAATAGGGGGCTTTAGAACAGATTATTCAGTCTTTTCAAGATTCTAAAACTCCAACAGTTAAATAACAGTGGTGAGAACAGTATTAAGAGTACGAGTCGCCGGAGTCGCTACTCGCAATGATGATATATAAGTTAATAATGAAGTGATATATTGTAAACTCGAAATGTTAAAGATTAATAACAAAATAGAAAGAAGACGAGAGAAAGGACAAAGAAAAGGTAAGGGGGAAACTGAGGGAGTGAGACAGTCAAATAAAACAGACTGAGAGCATTAAGATTGGCAGTCTCTCAGAACTTCGATTTGACCTGTCGTTTCCTCATTGGCTACCTTTCCAACATTAAAGCTTTTTATCGGCTCAATTCCAATGTAATTTTTATATATTTTCACATCATTCCTTTTTTCACTGTTTATTGACAAAGTTTACGTAACCCATGTCCAATCCCACTTTAATTTGTATTTTTAGTTCCTAAGTATACAAATAATATATTTTTTTTTCCCCCACCTTTTATATGAAAGTTTTTTTTTGTTATTTAATAAAATTGACATTACAAAAAAAAATTAGATGGCTGATTATATTGATAAGGTTTTCTGATTTTCTTAACCCCTATAAAAATTATATGTGTGTATTAAGGCATAGGGGTAATTACAAATCAGGGAGATGACAACACGTAAGGGATAGTTGAAGAGATTAGAACCAATGTGTGTGGGTATTAGAATAGACTGAAACACACCTGACCTCCTCTCCTTGTGGAGTTTTTCACACAGCATTTATCAATTAATAATGTTTCCTAAAACGCAGATAGATAAAGCTTTCATTTATTGTAAAGAAAGGAATTGCATTTATTAGCTTATGTTAATTTATAGCAAAAGAAAAACTTTTGGCTATATATAGTAGATTAACAATCTCATGACTGCTGATATTTCTTAGAAATTTAACCAAATGGTGGAATGGTTGATCGTGCTCTCATGATGCAAACTACAAAGAGACAAAAAAAAAAAAGGTGCTGAGGATGAAAATTAAAAACAAATAACAGCTTGAACAAAAATCAGAAAGAGAGGATCATCACAGTAATTATATATATAAAGAAAAAGAGGATCATCACAGTGAAAACCCTAATCATTTTATATTCCTACGTGTCAAATTACGAATGGTCATAATCAGAGTAGAGAAGAAGAATGTCGATGAAAGAAAAAAGTTTGACTTGTTAAGTCCCAACTGTCAATTTCCTAGCAAGACACATATCTTCTTTACATCACATTACATCTACACATAAATGCTTTATTGCAAAAATAGCGATATAAAAAAGAATAAACAAAAACCTAGTATTTATTTTCTAGATTCTTTACTGTTGTATATATAGAAGTTGCTCGAGTGGTCATTTTTACAATAAAGCAATCTGCTCAAAAGAGTAAAGAAAAGGAGAAAAAGAGAGTGAGAGAGAGAGAGAGAAAAAGACTATGGATCCTGAAGGTTTCACGAGTGGCTTATTCCGATGGAACCCAACGAGAGCATTGGTTCAAGCACCACCTCCGGTTCCACCTCCGCCGCAGCAACAGCCGGCAACACCTCAGACGGCTGCTTTTGGGATGCGACTTGGTGGTTTAGAGGGACTCTTCGGTGCTTACGGTATACGTTTTTACACCGCGGCGAAGATAGCGGAGTTAGGTTTTACGGCGAGCACGCTTGTGGGTATGAAGGACGAGGAGCTTGAGGAGATGATGAATAGTCTCTCTCATATCTTTCGTTGGGAGCTTCTTGTTGGTGAACGGTACGGTATCAAAGCTGCCGTTAGAGCTGAACGGAGACGATTGCAAGAAGAGGAGGAGGAATCTTCTAGACGCCGTCATTTGCTACTCTCCGCCGCTGGTGATTCCGGTACTCATCACGCTCTTGATGCTCTCTCCCAAGAAGGTACAATAATAATGAATACATATAGAAATATTGCACGTTTATGTATATATTGCTGATCTTTACATTTCTATGTCCGACTTTCAAGAAAAAGTATGTATATGTTCACGTGACTAATAGATAATTAATTTATGAATCTTACCATGACATATACATATGTATAGTAGTTGCAACATAATTTTATGATTCAGCTTTGTTACAAAATACAGATTACAATTGTTTTGATGCCATACACATACATCTAGATAAAAACTCTCATATTTATTTATGTGATAAATATATTTACTTGTATGATATTTATATAGAGCTACTGTGTGTATAGTATGCAGTCATAGTCTGATTTTTATTAAATAGACCTAGTGCAAGAAGTACGAGGATTAATATCATGTACAGAGAAATTGAAAGAGTATACGCATAAACTTAAACAAATTTTTTGTGATTGTGACAAATTATATGTAGATGATTGGACAGGTTTATCAGAGGAACCGGTGCAACACCAAGACCAGACAGATGCGGCTGGGAATAACGGCGGAGGAGGAAGTAGTTACTGGGAAGCAGGTCAAGCAAAGATGAAGAAGCAACAGCAGCAGAGACGGAGAAAGAAACTGATGGTGACGTCAGTGGAAACGGACGATGACGTCAACGAAGGTGAGGATGACGACGGGATGGATAACGGCAACGGAGGTGGTGGTGGATTGGGGACAGAGAGACAGAGGGAGCATCCGTTTATCGTAACGGAGCCTGGGGAAGTGGCACGTGGCAAAAAGAACGGCTTGGATTATCTGTTCCACTTGTACGAACAATGCCGTGAGTTCCTTCTTCAGGTCCAGACAATTGCTAAAGACCGTGGCGAAAAATGCCCCACCAAGGTATCTTTTGATTTATCTTCCAAGATCTAATCCTGACCATTCATTTACTTTATACATATCTAAAATAAAAAAATTTAAAAAATGGTGTCGGAATTTATGGGGTATGGTAGGGGAACTATAGCTATAATCATGGACAGCTGTTATAAAAGCAAGTTTGACAAGTCACGAGTTCTCAGGGTTTTCAATTTTTTTTTTGCTATGTCTGGCAAAAATTTATAGGGTTCTGATTTACTATTATTTTTTCATTTTGTTTTCATACTGTCTTCTTCAGCATAAATATAGTTAGATTTCAATTTAAATTTTGACAGTAAACCGTACGACGACGTGTCGAGTTAGGGAAAGGACATAGTAGTTTCTTTGTTTTTGGCTATAACGACATGAGATAGTTTTTTTTTTTTTTTTTTTTTTACGACATGAGATAGTTAGATACGATATACAAATTTTTGCATGCATTCACACAGATAGTACACATAGATATTATTAGACTTTTTGACAATTAATAGGGATATTTGTTGTATGTATATTATATCTAAATACAGTCTATTGCTCGGCGGATAATAGAGGGTCTTCTTTCCTCTAGTGACGATAGTACAGAATCCATGAGCTCTGTGCCATTGCTTGTACAGACGCACGTTACTAAAATTAAAATCTAATTTAATTGTTTTCTTTCTAAATTTGTTGGTTCCAATTTTTTTTTTTTGTGGTTTCTTTTATCGTTTTTTTTTTTGTTCACCCGTTGTTTCTGTTATCTAATTTTCGTTTGGGTGTAGTTAATTAGTTGTCTAGTCTAACTAGGGTTATAGATACTATCTTACAACTACGGTTATACTTTTTGATGGACATTCATTTTTTTGTTTTATTTTCTAAGTCGTGGTTAATGTGTAAATAGGTGACGAACCAAGTGTTCAGGTACGCGAAGAAATCGGGAGCGAGTTACATAAACAAGCCGAAAATGCGACACTACGTTCACTGTTACGCTCTCCACTGCCTAGACGAAGACGCTTCAAACGCTCTCCGAAGAGCGTTTAAAGAACGCGGTGAGAACGTTGGCTCGTGGCGTCAGGCTTGTTACAAGCCACTTGTAAACATTGCTTGTCGTCATGGCTGGGATATAGACGCCGTCTTTAACGCTCATCCTCGTCTCTCTATTTGGTATGTTCCAACTAAGCTGCGTCAGCTTTGCCATTTGGAGCGGAACAATGCGGTTGCTGCGGCCGCGGCTTTGGTTGGCGGTATTAGCTGTACCGGATCGTCGACGTCTGGCCGTGGTGGATGCGGCGGCGACGACTTGCGTTTCTAGTTTGGTTTGGGTTGTTGTGGTTTATTTAGTCGTTATCCTAATTAACTAGTAGTCTTTAATTTAGTCTATTCGGCTAATTTCTTTTTCTCTTTAATTTGTCAACCCTTTAATTTGTTGTGGCTAATTTTGTTATACACGCAGATTTCTAAATGTGTTCACCGATTTTTAACCAAATTGGTCAAACTCGAAGTACTCATTCATAAGTATTTCTACATCGAGATAGAAAACAAAAGAAATGTGAGGGTGTGATCAGGATAAGTTAGACAAAAACCTTATAAAATGAGATTTTATCAAGACTGTAGCATATCCTCAAGTTCTATCAAAATCTATGGTCATTTAGGTTGATGATATTAGGAACTTAACTAGGTGATAACCATAACATTATTTTGGTTACGAAAAACATTTAACTGGGTGATATTTCTGCAAATAACATGTTATTTAAAAGAATAGAATTATTGTGTGTTTTGTAAATAAACAAAATTCATGGTCATTTTACGTAATTAAAAAATGTTCATAGTTGCAATTACCCCAAATTTTATCGTGTTGATCAATAATGGGCCAGGCTGGTTCGAGACAAATAGATGGGCCGTAGATATATAAACTTGTGTTGTCAGAGAATGCAAACGAAGAAAACAAAAGAGAATTGAGAAACGACTGTTTGAAATTCGAATCCTTTCTCTTCCAACTTGTGTGATATCCTCCTACAATGGAGTTCCCGCCAAGAGCGTTTTATCCACGGAGATTCCAGGCCTCTCCGGCGCAATACACGGCGGAGGGAAGTGCTGCAGGAGTATCGGCTCCAGATCTCCGAGATAAGCTCGCGACACTGGTCGATCGCAACAAGAAAGTGAAAATGGCGTATCATCAACTCCAATCGCAGATCGCATTCGGTCTTGTCGAAGTAAAGATAAATCCTCTTCTCTAATTTGCTAGATTCGATTTCGAAGTAGATCTAAGCTTAATTTAAACGAATTTAGAGAGGTAATCATATTTTCTGGTTTGGTAGATTCGAGCTTGAATTGAACGATTCTGAGTGTTGCAACGAATTCGGGAGAGGTTATCGTACTCTTTAAATTGGTAGTTTCGTGGATTCAAGCTTGATTTGAATGATTCTGAGTGTTGCAACGAATTTGAGAGAGGTTATCGTATTCTCTCGTTTTTGGTAGATTCAAGCTCGATTTGAACAATTCTGGGTTGTTACAACGAAATTGATAGAGATTTTCGTAATTTAAAGGCAGGTGAAGTTTTTGATTCTTTGGCGATCCCTTTGATGAAGCTGGTTGGGTTGAAAACGTCGGAGATGGAGAGTGAAGGGAGACACTCCACCTTTATTTTCAATACTGTGAGTTATATTCAATCATCTTCTTGTAGAATCATGCAATTTCATAAATTTTCCGATCATTACTTTATTTTTACCAGGAACGATATCATATGGATACTGCCCAAAATGGAGTACGGACTTGTGATCTGAACAATCAAATTCGCAGTTCAAAGGTAGTATTATTAGTGTAAATCATGATTCTTATAGCATATGTGTATGCCTAGTTTTGATATAGATTGAACGTGAACCGATTGATATGATTCTGAAACTGTAATGTGTCTAGGCAAGTGTCATTCTGTTGATCCTGTGCATATGTATCCCTAGTTCTACTATAGATGTGATGCGAATAAAGCAATATGATTCTGAAATTGTAACGTGTCTTGTCAAGCTTTACTTTGGTGATTGCTTATTTAGTATGCCTCATTTTACTAGATATTGAATGTAAAACCAAACCATGTGATCCTGAAAGTGTAATCTCTCTAGTCAAGTTTTAGTTTGGTGAGTTCTTATATATGTATGCCTAGTTCTGGTATAGAGTGAATGCAAAACTAATAAATATGATGAGGAAACTGTAATGTGCCTAGTCAAGTTTCATTCTGGTGATTCCTTGTTAATGTTTGCCAATTTCTGCTATAGATTGAACGAGAAACATTCATAAGGATTGTTTAGATGCTGTCTTCTCTACACTTTCTGTTTCAAAATTAATCAAATACATCACAAGCTTTTTGAAAAACCATTTCTACCTTCATGTGGGTTTTGAACTTGCAGTTAAATATATATTCTGTCTACTTCAAGTGGATTTGTTTCTCAGAAATTCATTTGCAGTATCATGATTTTGTAGGTAGAAAATTATGCTGCTAAAGCCGAATCAGCGGGAAAAGAGATCTTGCACAAGCATAAGGGGCAGCTCAGACAGCTAGTTCATATGCTTAAGCACATTGAAACACAGGTGAATTCACATCGGGAAGACATTCTGCAGATGGTTGACGATCGCAGAACCTTCTTTCAAGAATTCATCCAGAAATCTCTTTATTACCTAAGCTCGGTTCACAGCAAAAACCATGACACTTTCCCTGTCACAGTGAAGCTCCTTCGCGTCCTATTTAATAACATCAACGAGATGCTCAGTTCAGTAGATAGTGGTGTTAATGATCTTATGCAGGCTTTAGCAAAGAATATGTGTCACCCGATGACCAAGTACGTAGGCAACTTGGCAGCTGAAATAAAGCATGGCCCTTGTGTGCAACTGATGAATGTAGTGAATGAGATGGAGAGAGCAAACTCAGATACAAGGAGGGAGCTACAAGATGCTAGAGAAAGGATTAGACTTGCAGAAGAGACAAAGATAAACGCTTTATCCAAGCTGAAAAAAGCTGAAGATCAAGTTCAGAGAATGACAACATCTGCCAAATTTCTTCTACCCGCGAGTCAGAAGAAGAAACAAGCTGAACATTCTATTACTGGCAAGGTAAAATTTCGATAATGAGTTTTGTTTGTGAAAGCTCAAATGACTAACTAAAGACTAAAAGGTTTTTTCCATCCTTATGTCCATGTAGCGTATAGGCACAGAGGGCAGCCGAGAACACGAAGAGAAACTACTTTGGGAACTACTGAGCAAAAGGAGAAAGCAACAAGAGCCAGAGAGTCCAATGGGACCTAAAGAACTCATCAGACAATCAGACACAAAGCAGAAGACATTGGTGTACAATCGCCGAAGGACTAGGAGCCAAGCACTGTTAAGTTCTCAAACCGCACGTCCTGATGCTTTGATCCCACTTGGTTTGTCACCTTCTGCTAGAACAGTAACCTGGAGGTAAGTAAAGTAAGCACAAGTCTCAGTCATTGCATCAGAATCTCTATTCACTATGCTCTGAAAAACAATGAGATCCAGTAGCTTCTTTATTACTAAAGCACCTTAAAAAAGTACTCTTTTATCTTGTCATTAGTTACACTTTAACGACTCTTGGTATTTCTTGAGAAGATCAAGTACTGGTGTTTCAACAAGAACGACTTTGTTTTATGTAACTTTGGACCCTAGCAAATCCTAGTGACTATAACCGCAATGTGAATTATATTTGATTAACCAACTTAACTTCTAATAAACACAATGATACATATATACATTATATTTCTAATTACATTGCATCAACTGAACCGTCTAATCTGTTATGTCAGAGCAGTACCATATACATTGTATCAAACTATACTTTGCAAAAGCTTCATTAAATCTTCAAAAAATAAATATTGGGGCCAAAATAGAATTTCTTGAAACATTTGGGGGTTGTACTTAAATATCCACGTTTTTTAAAGTAGTGGGCCTAAATTTTTACATGTAGGCCCAAATTAAATTCCGACGTCGGTTAGGGTTCTTAATGATGATATCACCTGAAACTCTGAGTTTCTCCCTCCGCCTCCGTCATAGAACGCAGAACTGTGTGGTTCACCGTGGTCGTCGAATCCTTAGTTCCTCGATTCCGATACATTAAAAATAAACGTATTACTCTCTTGCTCTCCTGGTAAGGTTCTCAAGTTGATTATCTTCCTAGCACTCGACTTGTCTCTGTTTCTAATCCAACGTTGTTTTTTTTTCTGCATTCTGTTACGAGAAATCTTAAACCTTACTTACATTTCAGGTATTATATCTGTAAAAGTCTCCAATTTTCGGTCTGATTATTCTCTGACGATGGTATGTGTAATTTCCCGACCGATTGTTTCTTTAGTTTCAAAGTCTACATTTTTTTTCTGATTAGAGCCAGTTTTATTGAAATTTCTTAGAAGATTATAAAAAAGTTTGAATTGAAATCAACACTAAAATATGTGGGCATCTCCGTGACCTTTGATTACTTGTGGAGGTCCTAAAGTTGAGTTGGTTTTTGTTTGAATGCATAGGAATTTTTTTTTTTTTAGTGTATCTTTCAACAATTTCTTAAATTTGTTGCAAGAAATTATTCTCAATGATTGATTAACGTTTATTGAATAATTGTGTGCAGGCTGCAAGAGTTTTGGCAAGTGTGATTGTGATGGGCTCTGGAATCATAGCCAGGGCTTGTACTCAGGCATATCGTCAGGCGCTTGCAAGTATGTCTTTATATTACAATGTTCTTGTTTTGTTTCTGGGCAAGAATGAATATTTCAAAGAATTGTAAGTTACTTTGCAAAATTGTTGATAAACATTGTTTGGAATGGTTACAGATGCATCTAAAACTGGGGTTGCGCATGAAGCAGCGCAGAATATTAAGAGAGGGTTGATAATAAGTGAACCAGAAGCTAGACAGATTCTTGGTGTAACTGAGAAATCATCTTGGGACGAGGTTCTTAAGGTTTGTCTTCACACTTTCACCCCGAATAGCGGTTTATAGTTTCTACTGCTGATTGAAAAAAAGGAGACCCTTTTTCTTATTAAGATTGTATGTTATGTTTGCAGAAATACGACACGTTGTTCCAACGCAATGCGATGAACGGAAGCTTTTATCTCCAATCAAAGGTCCATAGAGCTAAGGAATGCTTGGAGGCTGCATACCAGAAGAATACAACAACAAGCGTATGAACAAGCAATGAAACTTTAGGAGCAAATCAGGAACATATCTTTTGATACAAGTTTTAGTTTTAGGACGACAAGTTTGAAATTGTGTGGAGATAGCCGCAAAAGTTGAAATGAGACAAGTCGGTGATGGCCGGAGGTGGCCAGTAACCGACTCACCGGCCGTTGTTAAAGTCTTGATGTTTTTGTTTAATAATATTGACATTTCTACTTCTTAGGTAAACTCGTTGAATTCTAGTCTGTCGAGTTGAATTATCTGAAATTGAAAAATCTGTCTATTTCATTATAATTACCAAAATATATTGACCAACAAATCGTAGATAAAAAAAAACATGTTCCTATAGTCTAAAACCAATTTAGTGAATTTTTTTTTTTATAGTTGCACGACTTTATGATGAAGTATAAAGTTCGGTGCGATATGTATATAATTTTTTTTCTACTTAATCTTTATCTGATAGTCAACTAAACTGATAGAGTTGCACTAGCTACTAAACCAAGTGGTGACAAGACTTTGAAGTCCAAGTCAAAGACTCCCAAGTGGGTTTGAGATTGCTCAGCAAAGTTTGCGGCGGTGTCTATAACGCTCCGAACGCGAATATTAGGGGTTTTGCCCTTTTGGATCATCGTACAAATTACACAACCTAATAAAAAATTAACGAGGAAGCCATTTTTATATTTTAATTATGAAGTTGGATGTCTATCAAGTGCACATGTCGACGGCCGAATTTTGTGTTTCACATGCACACACTATCATTAATGCTGATTTAGAATGACTTTTTAAAAGTCAACTTAATATTTGATGTGAACATATATGAACATTATTAGCATTGAGTTTAAGCTTGGTCAAACTCAAACGTTAACAGCGACACAGTTTTTTTTTTGTCTATGGTATTCAATCGCACCATAATTGGCTCTTATGTTTGTATTTGTACATCAAAGTAACTAATATCATGCACATGTAATATGTATTAATTTATCGTGCGTTGAGGTTCGAATCGGTGAGATTATGTTGTCATGACCAAATAAATATATTGGAGGTAAGAAAAAAAAAAAACAAGAAAAAACGTTTCAGAAATCTTAACGGAGGACAAAAAATAACACTCATCAAAAACATTCAAAAAGCAGCATATATCATTACTTCATCACAAGTAACTTATCAAATCTCAAAAACCCGAATGAGGAGAGGAAGATGAATCCCCAAAGCGCCAAAATCTGGCATAATCTTGATCTTCATGTTGCCTAGAAGAGCCACCAGAAGACGAGGAAGTTGTAGCAGCAGTCGTAGTACTATGATCATGGGACATTGAATATCCACTACCACTACCATATCCACCGCCCAAATTAAAACTTAGCATATCATTACTACTCCCATCTTGATAATATTGATTATAGTTTGGTATATTTTGTGGCTCGATTTGTGGAGTTTGGTTGGAGGAGTAATATGTAGAGTTACTTCCAAGCTGAACCCTCTCTGGGAAATTGAGTTTTGCTTTGCTTCCTTTGAACTTAAGAGCTGCTTCATCATAAGCTAAGGCTGCGGATTCAGCGGTTTCAAATGTCCCGAGCCACACTCGTGCCGCCTTTTGTGGATCTCGGATTTCAGCTGCCCACTTTCCCCATGGCCTTTGCCTTACACCTCTATAGTGTCTCCTCCTCAAGTTCCCTTAATTGAAATCACAAAAATTGAAATCAATAAACCATATGTAAACTTTGTATATGCTCATAGTGTATGTGTATATAATCACATATTGGTGCTGACTAATTAAACCATATACTACCAACAAAATATCCATGTTAAAAATCACATTTTGGTAATAGCATAACCGTTGTTTTTGGTAAATGAGTATTGAAACAAACATAGCATAATAACAACCGTCAATTTAGTTTGAGATTTACTTCTGATATGAAATTTTCACACAAATTCCATACATCTTAACATAGTTTCAACAAAAAAAAAAAGACGCAACATAGACATGCTGATCATGTATAATACCTTGGTCTTGATGAGTAGGAGCAACTTGTTGATTAGGGTCTTGTGGATTATACACAGAAGGATAATTATCAATAGAGCTCATGTTGTCATTAGAGTTGCTTCCGATTACTTGAGTCAAGGCCGAGACCATAACACGCATGTCGTGTTGAGATCGGGCCGAGAAGACCGGGAAAAGGTTCTCATCTTCTTCTTTCCCCTCAGATTCATCGCCTCCAAAAGGTCCCTTCCCATACATTCGAGGATCTACTCTTTTGCTAGATTTTCTATTAAAAAGAACTTTTTTCTTTCCAAAAGATAATTAAAATCCGATATAGGATTTACAGTTTAGGGTTGTTCAGTTTTTCTTTATGTCATCTTTGAACATCAAGAACAAGAAGACGATAAGGAGAAGAAATAAGATTGAAGTAAATGAAGAAAGAGAGAGTAAAGTTTTTTTTTTTTGGGTTTTGCAAATTTCTGAGGCTTTTATAGAGAAGTCTTTCTACGTGTGAACATATGACCTAAAATAATATACCTTTTAAGTTTTTTTTTGTCTTTGCATATTCTGTTGTCTTTAATAATTTGTTTTGTGTGTTTTGTTATTGTATTTTTAAAATATGTTTGTACGATCAGTACGGATCAATGTTTTGGGGCCTTAAAATGAAGACATGTATTACATGAGAATGTTTGTTAAACTTTTCTTAATGAGGAAAGTGCATGTGTATTTAAATATCAAAAGAGGGGAAAATTGCGCATGCATGTTCATGTTTTTTTTAATCATTTATTTTTTGTGAAAAAGGTTTAACACATTCATGGAATCGAGGGAAAGATATAGAGTAAATAGTGTTTTTCTTTAAGTAATAATTTATAGTACTATATAAGCACTATCGTGTTCTTAATTAGCTGTAAATGTAACATAAACCGACACATTGTTTTTTCGTCAAAAATCGGCATCCTTCACCAAGAAGAAAGCGATTAGAAATGTCTAGAATATAATGTAAACCGACACCCTTGTTGTATCGAAAGTGAATTAAAAAAAAAAAATGAGTTTGCGTAGGTGAGAAGTGAACCTATTTTTAAATGACTGGTTGACTAAAATTTGCAACACAAAAGAAGGTTTAAAACCTCTAAATCCAAGAATTGTGTACACACTCAAATTGATTTAAACAAAGTGATTATTATGATCAAATATATGTTTATATTAGAAAATGAGAATTCATAAGTAAATGAAGTTTTTGAAAACATGTTTTCAAAGACATTATCATAAAGATGTGGACTGCACTCAATGAAAATTATAAATTGTAGACATAGTAAGCACACTATATAATACTTAGCTATTGTATGATTTGTATCATATGATGAAACTGATTAAATGGATGTAGCTAGACATTGTTTAAACTGCTAGCTAGTGTAAGAGTTGTGTACACGTTTCTAGTTTCGAAAGGAGGTATTTAATTTTTACTCAAAGGAGCTATTGCCTATCTAAATTTGACTGGCTTTTTATCTAAAAAGTTTGATATTTGAAAAAGTCTTGACCCAAAAAGTCAAGAGCTAAACTATAAGTTGACAGGTAAAGAACTTATATATGTACAAATGTGTAAACAAGCTAAGTGGATAAAATAATGTAAGACTTGTAAATGTAATCCACAGCCACTTTGACTAACTAGATCGACCATGTGTGTGTGTGTGTGTACTGCGTTGGTGTTAGGTTCAACTACCATTTCCCTAACCGGCGGTTTATTTATGTTCATGATCAAATTTCCTTAAATTATAGGTTCACTGTTAAATGTATTTGGTCTTCTTCACTTTCTCCACCCCCTCTAAATCTTTGATCACCATGTGATACCTAACCTAACTATTCATTTATTTGACGGAAAATTTATAGTGATCAATAATATAACATGTGTTCACGTTTTCAACATTTTGATTAAATTTTTTTATTTCTATGTTACGATTTTTAAAAAATGATTTTAATATATATAATACAAATGTTTAGTATATAACTAACATCTATTAAAAAAAATTAATCTACACAATTTTTTTTTGGAAATTCTTTTGTTATTTGTTTTAAAAACGAAATTTTGTATATATCATTCTCTTACAAAATTGATATAACAGTGAAACAATATTAATCTGTAACTTTCAATGTTTTTTTTTCTTCTGGACGTTCACTATTCTCTTGCAATAAAAGAAATTGAGCTGCACAAAACTATCTTCCAATTCCAAGTATTGAAGTAAAATCAAAGACAAATGTGTACATCAGTCTCTTCATTCGAAACTTTATACAGTACATCCCACATTCAGACAATTATTATAAAAAAAAAAGGAAAAAGCTTATGTAATCGCGTAATACGACAGCGACTTTTAACCGTCGTAATGGTCGATGTAATGTATAATATGTACACACTTCATTTACACACGAGACGATATCATTCATGGAGGAATCGGCTTCATATTACGGATTCTCATATATGTCAAAAACTGCGAAGGCAATTCTGCTAGAAGCGCTTGTACCACTGAGATCTCTCCATCTGCAAAACAGAACACATTAATACCCACCAAACCAAGAGCTAGCGTTCTCATGCGTTTCCATAAAGTTATACTCAAGAATCAAACAAAACTTACATTGGACATCTCGTAGTGCCACGAACTGAACAATATCTCGTGAAGCCAATCGCCCGCTCGAGCTCTCCAGTCTTTCTCCTCTATCTGCGTCTAGTATCTAAAAACCCCCCACCAAAACAAAAATGTACAGTTTACACAAGATCATATGTAATTGTAAGAATCTTAAATGTCTTTCTTTTGTTACCTCCATCTCTTTAAAATCAGCTCCTCCAACTCCTACAATGAGGATTGATAACGGTAAATCCGAGGCACTGACTAACGCGTCTTTTGTTTCTTGAAGATCTGTTATAACACCATCCTGAAACAAGAGATTGTGGTTTATATATTAACAATGTTTGATTTGTTATTTTATGTGATGTTGGCTTTTTTTTTTAAAATAAATATACTCACAGTTATGATCAGTAAGACGTAATATTTCCGTGAACCTTGAGCTAGAGATGCGCTGGCGATCATTGCAGCAGAGTTGATCACTGGACCAAAAAGGGTAGGCCCTGCAAGAGAGACGTTGAAGAGGGCACTGGTGTATGAAGTCATGATACCTTGAATCCCATCCACCTGAGAGAGCGAATAAGAGATACTTTTGATGTGTCAATCCAAAAACATCAACAGTTTAGTCTTAAAGACCAGTGAGTCAAGTTTGTTTACCTCAGAGTACGAACTGCTTCCATTTAGGTTAAAGCAATGTGAAACTGGAGCGTCGATCGGACGAGCTCCGAATCCCCAGGCAGGGAAACGTTTGTCTGAGTCATAAAACTGCAACACTTCTCCAACATCTACTATTGCCTGAGTTAAAAGAAGAGATAATGATGGTTTGTTTAGTCACAGTCGTTGCTAATTATAAGAAAATGGAATAACACTGAGTCCTCACTCTCTGGTAGGCATTTAGTCGTCCTGAAGGATCAATGTAATGCAAAGAATCAGGGAGGCGGGGATTTCCGTTTGAAGCTGAAGGGCAATAGAAATGTAGAAATATTTAGATAAAATTCTTTTTTGCATGATATATAGGTAACAACAACATTACATAATCAATCGAAGTTTTTAGGATTTTCCACAGTCGTGCAATATATACCTGTGAAATCGATAGCTACCATGAAGTTTAACTCAAACCCAGATGCCAAGTACTCTAGGAATGTGTGGTGGACAGTCTCGGTAAACTTTTCCACAAAAAGCTGGCTCTTTAACACCTGAAATGGCCATAAATGGTATTAGATAGCTTATTTGAAAAGGCACGAAAATGTTAGGACTTAGGAGACCTTTTCGTATTGGTTTATACCTTGTTTTTTCCAGCACCAGTAGGTAAAGATAAATTGATTCCTTGGCCAGCCAAATGAAGTTTTTCTAAGTCTGAAAGCGATTTCTGAACTTTCCTGGCCACCCAAAATAAATGAGTAATTATGTCAGCTAACAGCTTAAGTCACTCCAAAATGAGATGGACTGAGCTCTAAGATGATGGTTACCCAATCAGACTGTGTTTGCCATTGGAGTTAAAGTCCGAGCATTCTATTATCAGTGGACTGTCCTGCATGAGTATAGAAAAAACTTGAGACACTTTTCTATGAATCAACATGCATCTCGAGAGAAACAGACTTTCTATTCGTTCAGTTACATATTATTGGAAGCTCACATATACGAAATCTCCCATACCTTACTTCCCACTTGTTGAACACTAAGAAAGACAGGTTTCCAAATAGGGTTAAGATCGTTCTTCCGGACTTCAGTTTTAGACACGGGAATTGGTGTTCCATGCTCTACAATCTTTGATACCACCAAAAAGGGGTCCTAAAATTAAGCCACAACAAAAAAAAAAAAAAAAAACGTGTTATATTTATGTCAGAACTATAATTTTAGTAAAATGGTAAAGAGAATATATGACAAAACTTACACTCTTTGAGAAAAGATCCTTAGATTCCAAACTCGAACATCTAAATACTATCTCTGTTGAAATCTTAGAAGAAAGGGATTCCTCAGCATGGATGATAAGCTTTCCGTGGTGAGGCTGAGTCTGTGGAGCAAAGCCTTCTTTGCGCTTGAGTTCTAATGTACTGGTCCTAGTTGATTTTGTGATTATCTGAGTGGTTGAAAAGTAAAATGTAAAGTAATTCTCTCTCTCTCTTATAAGCTAGGCAATAAAACAAATTTCTATTGTGCCTCCCAGAGAACCAGCAAAAAGAAGTGCACATATATTGTAATGCCAAAAATGATACCTCAGACAATGCACATGTTGCCTCACCGAGAAACTGCTGTTCGTCAAGCTTAAGCATCTGAAAAGTCAATCTTCAGTAGTAAGTACACTACATATTACACGTTTTACAAAAGTAGGTAGTGCATGACAACTATTCAACCATTCTTTTTCCTGATCAATCTGGAACAGTGCATGTTAAGGCACAAGCATGTGGGTATTGACATTTTGATAAAAGTGACCATCCGATGAAATGAAAATGCAGGCAGTCTATTAGCAATTACCTCCTCTCTTGAATTTTGAAATTTGGTGTCAACATCATACACACGAAACCTGAGAATAAAACAACCAAAACAAAGATTCATATACATTTCAGGTAAAGGTTCATCACTTTCCTCAAGTCACATAAAAGATTTAGAAACATACACCAACGTCTGCACAGTCTCAAAATGATAAGCGAGTGTAAATTTCTTAATCCATTTCGGAGCTAAAGAGTTCAAAATAACTTCGCTGCGGAAAACTTCTGAAAGTGTTGCATCTTTTTCCTTTTGATATACAACAACCATAGGATCACTCTGCAGGGAAAAAAAAAAAAAAAGATTGTCATTAACAAGAGGATATCAAATGACTAGCTAAGAACAATTTTGAATAACAACAAACCTTAGAGAGCACGTCCCTGTCTCGTAAATTCGAAGCTGAAAACGATAGCTGCGAAAACAAAACATAAACACTCAGAAACAGCGAAATTCGAAATTTCGCACTCTTCTTCAAACCAAACACATATATTATTTGCTACACGTTTTTCGCGGACGAAGAAATTAACGAATGATGGAGACGGAACCTCGATCTGAGAGAAGAGTCCGTTGAAACCTTTCGACTTGAGATAGTAATCAACGGCGTCGTTATTCGCACCGAGAGCGGCGGAGGAAGCAGTTCCACCAACGCCGGCTGTAGCACCAGCACCGGAAGAGACATCGGAGCAACAATTACCCATAGATAATCCTCTTGATTTCCCAAAAAAAAACTGTGGATTCAAAAGCACCTGGATCGAACAACAGAGACAAACATTTTTTTTGAGGAATTTCGGAAGAAGATTCAGAAAAAACACGATAATCTGGAAGAGCAGTAAATGGGACCCACTTGTCTAAGTCGAGCTTTTCTTTTTTTTTTTAATTGACTCGCTCCATTTTACAGCGTCTTCCTTTTATAGGTTTTTCTTTTTGTTTGTTTTCATTTAATTAATATTGACTTCAGAAAAAGATATTTTTTTACACGAAATATCCAAGAAATGTTAAGCTGTTTTCTGGGAAATTCTCTTTTTGTATTATTGTTAGCTTTTAGTAAACGACGTGTTGGTCAATTGGATTTTCTATGTACGATAGAGATTAATCTCAGTCATAAAATTATTAATTTAATTCGAGCAATTAACTTCTATGACATCATAATCTTCCAGCTTATCATTAGAATATTTTTATCGATTATAATTGTTATATCAATCCGTTTTATCAAACACATTGTTTGTAATAACTTATGACACACAGTTTTGTCTTAATAATTTTGCTCAATAATTTTATTTGCAATGCACTAGTAGTAGTAGTATCTATAATTCTTTATGCCAACTGGATCTGTGATACTTTTGGCGAAGAATTGTAATAGATATTTTTTATTCACATGAAATTTGAGAAACTTTCAGACGAGTACAAGTTGTTGCTATGGGCACATAAAGTGAGCAATAGGAAATAGTGAGGCACTTTCACGTAAGAACATTTACACATAGATAATTATTAGTTTATTACCATGGAGACCATACTTTATTTACTTTTAACACACAAGTCGTAAGGTTCACACAACTCAGAAATGTTGTAGAAAAATCCCACAGATTATATCAGTAAATGATGATAGATGGGGAATATAACTTTCAAAAAGTGGATAAGATATATATTTAGAAATTATTGACATATATTATAGACATTTAGTGAAAGAAGCCAACGTTATATCAAGACAAGTCAGAAAGGTGGATCTGATTATGTTTTTTCCCAATTTCAGTTTTTCTCTTTGTCAATAATATTTTGATGATCTGTGACTCAACAACCACAACCCACAAAGCTGTAAACAGACGGGACCATTGACCCAAAAAAAAGATACAAGAGGGCAGGACCAGAGTCTAAGTAAATTCTGTAGCAAACAAAGGTACTATACAATAATAGGTGGAAAGAGTGAGAGAGGTGTGTTTTAAAATCTTTTTAAAAAATGGAGAAAAAAGCAATAGAAAAAAGCTTTTTTGAAAGAATATGTGAATTTCAGTGCAAGTGCTCAAACATACATAGTGGGAGACTTAGGACCCCAAGAGAAAGCTCAAAACCAAAGCAAAGTCTTTTTTTCCTACCAATACATAGGGCTTAGGGTTTAGGCCAATTAATCTTGGTCCCTAGGTTGCGTTTGAGAGAGCGATTTTGTCGAAATCGTGTGTTTAAGGTGAACCTTTCACCTTTGAAGGTAGTATTCTTAATAGCAAATCCCAAGTATTAAACATGAACATACTAAAAGAGTTATAATATGTTTTATTAACTTTAAATCCCAATCAGAATTGCATTTCAAATTGCACTCCTGACACGGGACTTAAAAGAAGTTTTTGTGGTTTGAGGAATTTCCTCATATGCAGCTCAGAAATGAATATGATCAAACCATAACGTAGAACTTTTAGACTTACAGTAAACGGAGCTGGAGACTCTAGCTTTTATGTCCTTGACCTTCTTTTTCGAGTGAGTACACCAGTTCGAGTCCATGCTTCCCCACCACGCACAAGTTGCTCAGATCCTGCAATACCAATGCAAAGAGGTTTTCAGCAAACTGTTTCTCACCTGAACCAAAACAATGCTCCTCAATTGAGTTTGAAAATTTTTTATGTACACGAGAGTTAACAGAGTCCTCTTTGGCATACCAGATTAGTAACACTTTGCTTTAACGTTTTAAGATGTTTGATAATAGGTTGTGGTTGCATCTGCTGTGTGAGGGTAATAAGACTGATTCACCGCATTCCAATCTCCTGTTGCAGAATATGCCTGGTTTGCAGCATTCCAATCAGCTGTCCCAGGAGCCCCTGGCACAGAACCTTGTGTTACACCTTGTTGACTGTATACGCCAGTTTGAGCATGGTATTGCGGCATGTAACCAACAGCTTGAGCATGTGATTGAATTGTGTATTCAACAGCTTGAGCATGTGGTTGCAGAGCATACCCAGTTGTGGCAGCATGGGGTTGCTGAGCATACCCGGTCACTGGAGCATGGGGTTGCTGAGCATACCCGGTCACTGGAGCATGGGGTTGCTGAGCGTGCGCGGTCGCTGCAGAATGAGGTTGCTGAGAATATCCGGTCGCTGCAGCATGAGGTTGCTGAGCGTGCGCAGTCGCTGCAGAATGGGGTTGCTGAGAATACCCGGCTGTGGCAGCATGGGGTTGCTGAGAGTACCCGGTTGCTGCAGCATAGGGTTGCTGGGAGTACCCGGTTGCTGCATCATAGGGTTGCTGGGAGTACCCGGTTGCTGCAGCATAGGGTTGCTGGGAGTACCCGGTTGCTGCAGCATGAGGTTGCTGAGAGTACCCGGTTGCTGCAGCGTGGGGTTGCTGAGCGTACCCAATTTCATGGGGTTTTTGAATATATCCGGTTCCACCAGCATAGAGTTGAGTATTATGCCCCATAGTTGCGTAATATTGCTGTTGTGAGTAACTATCTGTTCCAGCATATGATAGTGTACTTTCTTCCACATTCCCAGGCTGTAAATGCGTGCTATAATTACCCGCTACAGTTTGAGGTTGGTGTGTGTAACCAATTGTTCCAGCAGGTGGTTGTGAAGCTTCACCATGTGCCGGTGTAGGATGATAGCTAGCTGTCTCGGTATGAGATTGAGCAACACTAACTGCCTGCATATCTGGTTGGATGGACATTGTAGTATTTGAAACTGTAGATGCTTCTGGATGATTGTAAGTCCCAGAAGGGATCTCATGCTGCTGACTTGCTTCCCCTTCTTTTTGTGATGCTGAAGTATAGAACTCACTTCTATTCACACTCCCATTAGCTGCTGAAGCAAAAGGATGCTCATTCCCAGATAACGTCGAAGGGTAATATTTATTATCGGAATAAGGTGAAGCAAACTGGTCCTTCTCTGATGGTGTTGCCGGATAATATTCATTTTCTGAGGCCAAGCGATCTGAGGCAGATCCATATCTGTCATAGCAAAAAAAACAAGCCCTATGATTACACTTTCACATATAAGTAACTGCAAAACCAGAAAATAGGAACAATGTAAACATTTGCAGAGTGGAGGAATCTAGTAGAGTTCTCAGGTTTAGCTATGCTTTTAAACATCTGACGGCTACTAATATCAGGTCTTCAGTGAGCTATGATTGACATATTTGGGGGAAGATAAAAGTTCAAATTGGAAGTGAAATAGGATGCTAAATCAATTAAGATACTGATTAAGGAATACCAAAAAACCCTACAAGCAAAGTTACCTCCGAATATTAGATAAAATGGTTAGGTATTTGAGTTGAGGGTCCTGTATAGATGACCGCAGAGGTTCTGACCGAGGAGGATCTGACTGAGAAGAGTCTGCGAACAACCGTTGCTGCCGAGCTTCTGTAGGATAATAAGGCTGATTCAAATTTGACAGACTTTCTCTAGGTGGGGTTGTGTAGTCGTCATGTCTAGAGTAACTATGTTGGAGGAGAGATGGGCGGGGAACAGACTGATGGGCCATAAGAGAGCCAAGTCGTGGTTCTGCATGACGAGCAGACAGAGGATCTAAAACCGATGAAGCATTTCTAAGTTGTGTAGCCGCTATGAACCTTTCCTCAAAAGATAGAGTCCTAGGTGCTGAAGCTCTGGAAGCCAATCTATGAGGCAACAAATCGAGTTCCGGAGCAGTAAATGGACGAAACAATGATAACAGAGACATAACCTGCAATCCATGAACATTTTTGTTTAGCATATCGTAAATTACACTTGAAAGCCAAGCAGGTAAGCCTGGAACTTTAAAAGATGTGTTGTAAATAGCAAGAAAAAGTGTATTACTTGGTGAGGAGAAAGTTCTTGCTTAAATTTGGAACCTCTGTAATTTTCATAGATAGCAGACTTGAAAGTATTTTCTGGCAAGGGAAGACAGTTCATGACAATTCTAAATCCAACCTGCCAAAATCAAGTAAGAAAAAGAGAAAAGAACAATTTTAGGCACATTCAGTTGAGGAATTATAAACAAAATCATCTGTGTTTCACAAGCGTACCTGAGCTGGATATTTCTTATCAAAAGCTTCAGGTTCTATATCCAACCTGCCACCACCAGTAGCTTCATATACACCATAAAGAAGTCTCTTCTCAAAGTCATAGAGGAAAAGCTTCATGCCTGGTTTTATACTCTCAACAACGTCTTTTCTTCCTCTTGGAATCCCGAAAACGCGGTAACGGTAGCAATCGGTTTTGGTTCTCCCATTACACATAAAGATATAACCAGGTAGGTTCTCATGATGATCCTGTATCCTTTCTAACCCTTTTTCTAATCCAACGGCTGAGTTTCCATAAGCAGCTACAAGACTTCTATTATAAACCAGAGGAGCAAAGTATTGGGAGGCGGTAACATGTGCATTAGCATTAGTTTGTTCACCATCAGAGAACTCCATCTCTGTCTCCATCGCTTCACTGTATTTCAGTCACAAGTAAACCTAAAGCTATTGAAATTTAAGTCTGAGATACAGAAACAAATGTGGGATCGAGAAATAATAATAAATACCTCGTACGATTAGGGTTTCGAGAATCTGCTGGAAAAAAGCACGAATTTCAGAGGAAATCAAAGGGAGATATGTAAATGAGGCAAGAAGAGCAAGAACGAAACTTACTTACTGGATTTTGAAACCCTAGGACAGAAATCGAAAATCAGGACGATTAAATTCGAGAGTAATTTGTTCAGATCAGCTCATTAATAGGTTTGATTTGTCCAGATAATTTCAACGTGCGAATCTGAACAGAAGAAGTTGGATTCTTCTTCTTTGTTCATGAAAGTCGGGAGAAGAAGATGACTTTCAGAGAAGGAAGCTTTTTAAGCTCACGTGACAGACATGGAAGGAAATATATTAAAATGGGCCAATAACCATCTAATGGGCCTTTATGAATTAATACCGGGGGACTATATAATTTGCCGTCGTTAATGGTTTTTTAAGTTTTTTTTTGTAAATAACAATTACAGAGATTTGGAAAAAAAATTCTGACAAGCTGAGACCAAAGCTGGTGCTGTTGTGAAATCGATTAGAGATAAGCTTTTAGAGCATAAAGCCCTACACTTGTGTCTCTTTCGGTGTTCGATTTCAGCTGATTTATATCGAAGGTCATCTCTCTTTGTGAATTTCAGGTTCGTCCAATTGTGATAAGCATGATATATAAGGTTTTCTTAGGATTTGGTAAATTGGCTCTTGTTGTTAGCTTGAGATTCTAATTCGTATTTCCTCTTTCTGGGTTTTCTTCTAGCTCGAATCTAGAGATTTGCCATTGTCTTCGAGTACTCAAATCTCATTGCATAGAGAATTTTTCGGAAATAAGGTGGCTTAGGAATGATCGACTCAGTCTTGCATAGATTTCGCTCTCAATTTGCTTCTTAAAATTTATGTTTTTAGGTTTAAAAGGAACACTTTGTTTTTTTCTTTCTTCAATCTAAGTTTTTGAGTGGAGTCTGTCTTTTTCTTCTTCCAGAATGTCTTCAAGGGAGAGGCTAGGTTCAAAGCATCATAGCCGAGTGAGTCAAGGCATGTCAACTAGTGGATCATCATCGAGGCACCACGAGACAATCTCTTCGGCTTCGGATCCTCGTCATATTCGAGACCACCAGATTTCCCTTTCCGATATTCTAGAAAACAAGATTGCAGTTCAAGCTGCTGAGATAGACCGGCTCTCTAGTGATAACCGAAAGCTAGCTTCAAGCTACGTAGCTCTCAAGGAAGACCTTACCGTGGCTGACCGTGAAGCCCAGGGGCTAAGAGCTCACATCAGAAAGACCGAAACAGACTACGAGATTCAGATCCGAGCTACTCTTGAGAAAATAGCGAAAATGGAGGGTATGGTCAAGAACAGAGAGAATATTAGGAGGGAGGTACAATTAGCTCACATTGAGGCTCATAGATTGGCCAGAGAACGTGAGGAGCTTGCTTCACAGGTGAAGTTGGTGATAAAAGATTTGAAGAAGGTTTGTCTTGAGGCAGAGAGTTTAGAAGCTTCGAGCCAAGAGCTTGAGCGGTTGAAAGAGGAGCACCAGAGATTACGGTAAAAGAATTGTCTTTTACATGTCAAGTAACTGCTAACGATTCATCATCAGTTATTTTAACCATTTGGTTTGATGGAACAGGAAAGAGTTTGATGAAGAGAAGAGTGGGAACGTAGAGAAACTTGGGCAATTGAAAGAGATGGAGAGGAAAATAATTGGAGCGGTTAAAGCGATTGAGAAGCTGCGAAGTGAGATCGCAACCGCAAGGAACAAAGCTGTCGAGAATTGAATGGTTTTTACTTTTTAGGTTTGAGACCAAGAGGCTCCTCTATTTAGGGAGGGTTACAAGAACCACAATTGTGTTCTTATTATTCCTAATGTATATGAGTTTTCATTTTTTCAAATCAACCTGTTTCTTCTGAAAAAGTAGAGAGTAATGATTAAGACTAGTGCTTGAAAAGTCGATCACAACATCTGCTGAGAATTAAACACCAACGTAGAAAAACAACAGAGATAATTCTACCGCATAAACAAAGAGTCTTCAGCCATCTTAATTCTGTCTTAGTGCCTCTCGTGTAAAACAATGTCAGTTCATCGAAAAACAAGACCGGGTTAATTTACGAATCTAGCTAGTAGACAATCGCTCGTTCTATTCTGAACAGTGAATACATTTGTTCCTGGCTAGTATAAGAATCTGGAACTTTAAGATTTCTTGTATAAATTTCAAGGACTTCAAGAAACTGGACTGGTTCATGGTTTAAGAATTGAGGTGAACCTGAACCTATAGATTACAGGGGAGTATTTCGCTGTGACCATACTAAATCATTAAGTTAATGCTGAATACTTAAAGAGGTCAAGCCACTAGATCGACCTCATCGCGTTGAGGGTAAACCACATCGAGCCTCATCATACTCTTGTACTGATCAGGTACCGTTGCACCACCTTGCACACACATCTCTACAACTGCAGGAGCCTTCCCGTAAAACCTCTTCAAGCTATTATCAAGAACAGAACCATCGGTAGGATCCCGAACATGCCACACATAGTTTGGACCGACCACATCATCAATAGTCGCTTCTTGCCACGCGTGCATTCCATCTCGCATCTGATGCTTTGTGGCTTTACACATCCTTACTTTGTGCCCCTTTGGACCCACCTGAATCTCTGGACAATACCCACAAGTCCACACTTTGTATTTCTCCATCAGTTTCCTGACCCCTGAAACCATTTCAAACCATGACTCCATCGTCTCGATGCTTAATTCCTTCAAGCTCTTCTTCTTCTCTTCCTTACAAAAATCGTCTTCTTGTAAAAGTGTAGAAGTAGAAGTAACTGCAACTTCTGAATTTTCACCGTTGACATCCTCAAAATCTACAATCCGTCCTTCAATGCTGTACACAGGTTTCGATCTCCGCTTTGATGGGAACTTCTCAAGGTCTACGCCAGCCTGTATGCATAGCTCAAGAACCGCAGAGATTTTAGGGACGGTAAATCTCTCGTCATGTATAACTCTCGGTTTCACCGCACGGTCATAGAGGTGAAAACATTTTGGGAACAACACAACATCACTCGCTCTTCCTCTTTTCCAAACATGAGTCGCACTTCTTGAACCGCTCCCCGGCCCTGTGCAAGTCCTGATTTCATGACCTTCCTTGCCAATGTGAACCTCAGAGCACAATCTGAAAACAAACAACACAAGTTCCAACTTCAAAACTAGCTAAAGGACTAAAGTCTCAATTTCTTCAATCTCACTGGATCTTCTGTTCCAAATCCAATCAAGTATACCACACAAAGCACTCAAAACAATAGCTCAACAACTCAATCAATTGAGGTAACTCATTTGACTCCAATCTAAGCTAATTCTGATTGGAGTGAAACTTCTAGCTTAAACAAGCCATAGGAAGCATCAGCAAATCAAACACAGAGATGAGACAAAGTTAAAGTAACCTGCAACGATGAACAGGAACATGATGAATGATTTTAGAGAGGCCAGAGAGTAACGAGTTGCGGCATCGGTGAACAGAGTGAGCCACGTCGACAAGTTCCGGCACAAGTAACCCATTATCCGGCGGATATTCTAGAACCCGACATGGTTGTAGTTTTCTCAGTTGTTTCTCCTCTTTCGCACGACGAATCAACTCCTTCATCGGAGTCGGATACGGTTTCCTCTCCGATTTATCCTTCCGAGGTTTAGGTACGTCGGCGTAAAGAGGATCGTCATCATCAACAACTGAAACGTCGACGTCGAGATTGGTTAGAGATTTAATGGAAGATGAAAAATGAGATTTTCTGATTACGAAGACGGAGATTTGCACTAGCTTTCTTCTCTGCATTTTTTTCTCCCAACCAAAGCTTATTTATCATTTAGGGCCCAAAATGTTATATTTATTTTGTCGCCATTTTTTTTTACTCCGCCAACTAGATTTTAACCCGCGGAAGATTTATTTTTTCAAGTTAGTATATATAAAATTTTATAAATTGTATCTCCTTATAAAATATTTATGTTTTATAGTTTATAATTATTATCAAATAACGGTATATCACGAGTTCACGGAACAATAATAAACTGGGGATTTAACTTGTATTAAAGCGGCATGTTAATGATATTTTAAATTTTTATAAATATTGATTCAAACCCGTTCGCCATATAAATCCGTTCCGAAATATAACCAGCCCCATAATTTCTTAACCCGTCCCATGATTTTTTTTCTAAAAGTAGTGATTTTAAAATTTAATAATTTTTTATTATATATAAAGTTTATAAATTGTATCATTCTCTAAGACATTTATATTTTAATAAACTAAGGATTTAATCTGTATTAAAGCGACATGTTAGTGATATTTTAAAATTTTATAAATGTTGATTCAAACCCGTCCACCATATAACCCGTCCTGTAATTTTTTAACCTGTCCCGTAATTTGTTTTCTAAAAGTAGTAATTTTAAAAAAATTAACGATTATTTATTGTAGATAAAAGTTTGTAAATTGTATCATTTTCAAAGATATTTATATTTTATAGTTTACAATTGTTATTAAGTAACATTATACCACGGGACAATTTTTGATTTCATACAATCTTTTCTAAATGAGACTGATTTGATATATCTAATATTGGTGGTATGAAAAAAAAATTAAGGATTTAATCCGTATTGAAGCGACATGTTAATCTTTTTATTATTGTTGATTCAAAAACCCGTCCCGCCAAACCCGTCCTGCCAAAAAACTCATTTATTTTATTAATGTTGATCTTATTTATGATATGATTGAATCATTGTCTAAGTATTTTAATCGATGTAGAACGTTGAACACACATTTTCGTCAACTGGATAATATATGTCCGTTTTTAAAATTTCGAATCACAGTATATGCAGAAAAAAAAATTGATTTTTTTTTTACTTTATGTATTATATGATGATTCAAAACAGTTAAAAACAAATCAAACAAAGATGATAGGAGAATCATAATTCTAAATCTTAATCAAATCTTCTAAATATCTAAATTATTAAATATGGACTATTCGGTGTATGAGTTGGGTTAAATATAACCCGATCCAAGAAATTTTTTATGACCAAAATTAAAAAACGGGTCGGATATCCGATTAACCCAGAAGCATTTTTACCCACCCGTCACCAAAGTGTTGCAAAAATACTAGTATAGATAGTTTTTTTTTTTTTACTTGATTTGTCGAATATCTTGTTGCTGAGCTTTCAAGTTCGAATTTTGTTCTCTACCCAACATGAAGACGATTCTACATTCAATTCTTGAGCTAGATTCGAAGATTTTGACATATTTTCTGCTGATTTATTGCGGGAAATTCTCAAACGGGTAATGCACACAAGGTGTTTGATAGAATTCCCCAATGATCAAAATTGGGTCTCTGTTTTTCTATCAAGCCTTGTCACGTGGCTCTCACATGATACGGTGCCTTGCTGTTATTAATCTGTTACGTTCGTTGAGTTTCCCCGCCTCTACTCTGCTTCTTCTCGCAAAACAAATTTCTCTCCGAAGAAGAAAAACCCTAGAGAACAAGAAAGCGTAAGAATCTTGAGAATCGTTCACTATGGAGGATTCTTCTTTCATGGAAGATGCTGAGGGTTTACAACTCTACGAAGATGCTAAATATCTCTTTGATAATGGAGATCACATCAAGGCCTTGGAGATAATCGAAGATTTGATTTTGGTTCATAGGGAAGACAAAAACGCATGGATTCTTCATCTCAAACAAGGTCAAATATTCAATGAACTAGCGAAGAAAACAGAGAACCCTGACGTGGAATTCGCTTACTTGTTGGGTTCTGTTGAATGCTTCTCGGAAGATGGTTCGTTATCACCACTTTGTGCAAATTCACTCATCACGTTGGCCCGAAAGCTTGGGTCAGTATTGTATTACAAGAAGTCTCTGGAGAAAGCAAAACAAGGTTTATCTGTTACTACTCTCCCACACAAGTCAGATTCTGTTGCTCAACATAGTTTGCAAGACCAAAGAGAATTGGACAAAAAAAATAAAGGACTGTTGAGTTTAATCAAAGAGGCAGAGTCCGAGATTGCATCTTCCAAGAGTCTAGTTGCTTCTACTATAAAAAACTCTGAACAAAAAGTTTGGGAGTCAAAGGAAACTCCAGACCCGCCTGAGGATGCGGTTAAAGGATTGAGGTCGTACTGGGTGGGATTGGATGTTAAGATCAAAAGGGATTTTATGAAAGTAAGCATTGCAAAGCTTACAAGTTTTGTTGAGGGAGAAGAACATTACAAAGAGGGACGAGAAGTTTTGGAGCACGTTCTCGCTTCTGCAAGGGAAGCCAGAAGATGGACAGCCTGGATGTGCCGAACTTTGTGTTCAAAGGAGTTCTCTAGTGCTGAAGAATGTAAGAATCATCTTGAACAACAACATGCTGCAGATTTCAAACCTTCTTCAGAAAAGTATATGGTCAAGAGGATAGGAAAAGACTGGGCTCGTAAGATTTTGGTTGGAGGTTGGGAACCAGTGGATGCAGTAGCTGCCGTTGAAATGATCAAGAATCAGCTCGCAGATGTTAAAGCGTTTGCATCTAAAGCTAAGAATGGATGGTCCAAAGAATGGCCTTTAGCTGTGGATGAAGAGCGCAGTAAGTTACTCAAGGAAATCAAGTTGCTCCTTTTCTCTTTTTGCAACCTTAAAATTCTCTCCGGTAGCATTCGAGACTGGATGATGCGTTTTCCAGCTAAGTATCTTGGAAAACTTGAAGTTTCTGAACAGAGTCTTGTTGATTCTCGCTTAGTAGAAACACCTCAGAGTATCTGTTTTCTAGAAAGTCATGAACTGACTCAAATCCTTGACTTTCTAAATAACATCAAATGTGAAAGGAATGATGGTACAAATCTGGTTTGTAGAGCAGTGGAGAGTGTCTTGAGTCGTACTCGAGTTAAGGAAAAGATCGACCTT